ACTTGCCATGAAAGTTATAGTAGTTTGATTATAGAAGTCTTAAATCCTAAGGCTTCAATGTTAAAATAGTATTTATTCAGTTTCAGGCTCCATCTGCTTCTAGGCACAATCCCTTGCTTACACTAAGTTTTCTTTAAGTGGGGAGAGCAATCACACCTACGAAGACTTTTCCAATTTTGATGCACATGCTCTGCTAAAATCTTTGTACCAATTAGATAGATACTCACACAAATATTGACTAACATACTCTGCATAATGCTCACTGGCAGTCATTCATTCTAATGTAATGATCAGTGTGTGTTCTTGCACTATGCTAGGCTTTATGGGAATGATAACGTTGTCATTTAGTAATCATCATCGATCAAATATCCACATATTTGTGTCCCTTAAAATATATTTTTAAAAATCTAAGTTTGAAGCCCATAAAATTCATTTTTCTTTCAAAATATACAACAATTCCTTCTTGGAAAGAGTGATCAATTTTTCATACATGGCCTCAGTTCTCACCCTCAGTCTTTGCTATATCTTTGCTGATTTTAATCACACCTCCAAGAACTGATTACTCTGAAAACATCTGTCAATTTGGGCTTTTAAAACTGGTTTGTATGATGGATGGATACAAAGAAAACAAAATTAGAAGACATGTATGTCAGAAACAGTACCCTTACAACCAGTTTGAAGGAGTAGTTCCTGGGAGGCCATGCTTGGAAGCCAGGCTATGATTTGCTAACCTTCTTTGAAACCCTTCACCAACCACGTGCTTTTGTATTTCTGCATAGATCTGTTTATAGAAACTTTCTGTTAGTCATGTTGTCTCAACAAGTATTCCCAGATACTGCTTATGGCTGCCCTTGTGGTAACCTTTAAGGATCAGTTGGCTGTTGTCCTAGGGATCAAAACAGATGACGAAGGACAACACTGTATGGATGAAAAGCAAGCCACATAGCTGTAGAATGAACATGAGTCCGAGAGAAGCTCCACCACAAACTCATGTGGGTGCTTTCAGTTTGCCAACTGAAAACGAAACAAATGATTGGAGGGACTCTGAATGAATGGCTGAAGAGAAGGCAGTTCTTCCACAATTTCTTTAACTACATAATATAAAAATTGCCTAATGGAAATTACAAGGCCATCAAGAACTATCCTATATTCTTTCTAGGGGAAAACATAGTAATTAACTGTTGCAGAATGATGGATTTTACCAACACAGCTGTCACAACTGCTATTTTAAATCATTTGTTATGGTTTAAAATGTATAATCCCCAAGAAATTGATCATTACTGCAATTCAGTGCTGACTTTTCAGTGCCTTACCGATTTTGAAGCTTGCATCAGACATTTAGCTAACAGACGGCAGTCATACAGTAGACAACTATGGCTTATTTCATCAGCGATGTCTTCTCTCTCCCTCTCAGCAAGATTTTACTTTCCCACTAACATTTCAGATATGACCGAAGCAGGTGTGCGCTGATGTTCTGTTTTCAGTTTTCTGCTGTATGCTCATTCCTCCATTTATTAATATTTTCGTGTTTGCTGGGTTGAGTTTCCCCACTCAGCATTGCTGGATAGTATTGCTTAGGAAGTTCTAACCGCATGAGACCATGATTTAATCCCTAATCTTTTCAAATGCTGCGCCATATTCATGTTCCAATTGATATCTATGCCACTTCCATGACAGTTTCCCAACTACTCCAACGGAAATCAGCAAATAATTGGTACAGACATTCATCTTCACCTAAGCAGCACCCAAGATGAAGGGAAGAAGTATGAAATAAAGAGGAAGGAAAGCTTAACTGAAAGGATTTGTGCAGACAGAATGGAAATTTGGGCTTGGAGAGGTGGTTGACTTATTGGTTAGTTAGGACCTGGTAAAGTTGAGTGTTAGGTGAGTGGACACCGATAAGTCATATATTTCTTCTGTAGTTCTAATTTCAGATAGATTTATTTTTGCAATGTTAGTGTTCAGATGAGCCTTCTTTTATTATTTTAAAGACACTTCCACAAATTGTAACTATTCTTTAGTGTAGTAATTTGACTTCCCAAGGGAATTGGAGGAGTCTGACTACCAAGTAGTAGTACAAGTGTTCCTGTAACCTTCAACATTGTGTTCACGACCTCCCCTTAACTTTTGTGCTTATCAAGGTTTAGTCTTCAATTAAAGAAACACTATCTACATTTATATAAGTATACATATATCTACATTTATATAAGATAGATTACATCTACATATTATATATATTTATGTAAGTATACATTGTATCTACATGTTTGTGATTACTGTCTTCAATTTAGGGGTATGTAGCATTTTTTGTTAGTAAGATATATTCAGAATACTGATACTAACATTCAAGAACAACAGTACAATAATGAACTCTGCTTTTCCCAGAGGAAGCAAACTAAATAATGCTGTTTATTTGATTAATCTAAATTAATTAAGAACACAAATCTTTGCCAAGTTGAAATTAGCACATTGAGGGGTTTATGTTCTCTCCTGAGTTACTTCAAATAGATATGTGAAAAGAATACATGTTTAGTTGTGGAGACATTATAATTTGCTAGGACAGCTATTTAGGGCTTATTTATGTCTTTTTTAAAATTGTAGCCTGTATTTATTGTCTTGACCCCTTTAAGAGATTCTATTAAGTATTCAAAAATTTATATGAGTAACTAGTCTTTAAATTTTCTTTTCCGTAACTATTATAAGCATACACATCTTAAAAATTGTGACTCTAGACAGTTTATCTTTCTATTTTCTTTGAGTGTTTTATATTTTAAAGATTATTATTCCAGTTCAACTAATGGCTTCTGTATATTGTTGATATTTCCATAGGGAAAGTGGACAACAAAATCCAATTTATAGTTGTGGAGTTTTCAATACTCATGAGAACCAATGACAGTTCTTAATATTTTGGACAAAACCTATCTGATTTCTTAGCATTTTCTACATATATTTACAGAAAATTACACATGCATAAAACGCAAATTGTACCTGAAAAAGGAAAGGCCACCTTAACCCCCCACATTACAAATGATACACATCTCTCACTACAGCAGAACCTTCAGGTCTTATCAGAAAACAGCTTCCACATAATCAGCAAACCACAAGATGGCACTACTGAACAATTAGTTTATTTCAGAGAGGTGCCTTCTAGATTCTCTAAATAGCTGGTCAGGAATAACCTTATCCTTCCAAATTAATGTCAGTCCCTTCCACTGAAATACAGTATGACACGGAGAATAGTGATTTGATAGTGGAGAAGCTTCATAGGTCTTAGGGCACGTGATTAAGGACAAAACATCATAATTGTTACGTCGTAATACACTTTACCCTAACATATGTGATAAAAGGGACATTTCATTTATTTGCTCTTCTTCCCCAAGTGTGCAACCTCAGAATAATTACAAGAAAGCATCAGATAAACCAAAGCTGAGATACATTATGCAATGTAGTTGACCAAGAAAATCACAAATAAATTGTAATATAGTTTAAAAGAATATCATACCAACATTAATTTACTTTTTTTATTTATTATACCATAGTACCATAATATACTAACATTATAGAAAACTGAAAAAGAATGCATAGGAACAATGCAATAGTTTTGAAACTAATCTCTGAATTTGAAATTATTTCATATTAAATATTAAAAGAAAATCAGTATACAAATGTTACCTTAATTGCAACAATTTATGATTATGTATTTTTTAAATATGCTAGACATCTGTGGAAACTTGTAATGATTGTCTTAACCTATTAAATGATTTGAAGACCTAGGGTCTAGTTTCCCTTCAGGAATAGTGAGTAAATTCTTGAAACTCCACTTTAGTACAAATTGTGTGTAATTTTGAAATGAGAGTCAGAGATTGAGAGGATATTAACAAACTGCTTCTTCACACCATGATCAGTAGCACTTAGTGACATTCAATTACCTCACTAATGTGTGTTCACAAATATGGTGGTGATGGAGTTCTAATTTTGCAAGGTGTTAAATTTTGCTGTCAATCAAAAAAGATGATATATGATTATCATCTTTACTAGTCTGCCAAATGCTTTATATTGCGCAAAATAGTAGTATGAACAGAATAGCAGTTTGACTCATGAATAACCTCTTAGAATCAAATAAAGGAAAGCTGTAATTCACTGTGTCTACAGAGAAATGCAGGTATAACCAAACAAGGCCACAATCTGGAGTACAAGGTGAACTTGGAATTTGGGAAATTACTGCTCAACTTAATATATAGCCCAAGAATAATTTTCTGCTAGAGAACTATAATATAAGGCATTCCACTTAGCTTACTCATAGTTTCACTGGACTGGTATTTTTCTATTACCACAGCATGAAATATTTTTTTAAAAAATTAGCACCCAAAATAAGCTTTAATTTAAAAACTCTATATGTTAACTTTAATAATATTAGAATTTATGATTTGCATTTAGCCTAAGATTACATTGTTAGACATCATTGTGATGCCAATAAGAAAAAAAAGTCCATGATTCCTATGATTCAAGACATATTAAGAAGTTTAGAGGCTGTTGAATTAATTATGTGTCACTCTTACCAGTGATAACTATGGAAGAAATTGTGTGTATGGAGAACTATTCAATAGAAAGATAATCTCTGCACAGTGCCATATAAATGTGGTCAAAAGTAAAATGTCTTCTTTTTATTGCTGTCTTAATTGAAGATGTGTACTTTCCATCTTGATTCTTTGATGGAACACAAATCGACACTATTAGTATATTCAGTAATTTAGATGATCAGTTATGTCCACTGCTTAACGTAAGCTCAGACATTCAAGCTACCTAATAAGCTTGCTTCGTTTTCAGTGAAGTGCTTCAGATTTACGTAAATGTTGATGACAAAGTTATGTTTGCTATAAACACATATACCTATTTATTAACATGCTGTGACTTTGACGTTAATATATTTTGCTTTGTTACTTTCTTGGTAGCTGGGTAAATAGCAAACATTTGACATTTATCACTGTCCTTTCTTTCAGGGACTCCATGAAAAGACGGGTTCATTCACGGCTGTTAAAGTAATGAATGCCCGGAAGGTAATCTAACCTGTGACCTCTCTGTATTCTGTGCACTTAATATACTGTGTACAAGGAAGAAACAACTCTAAAAGCACTATTTTGAAGTCATGATTTTATATGCTAGTGAGTTAAGCTGAAATAATTGTAGTTATGTAATCACAGTTAACAATGTACCACACTTACTGGTTTGTTTTATTTTCACATTAAAAATGATTAATTCACATCATAAATTCCCAGTATTTTATCTTAGAAGCCACTTGAGAAAATGCCTATCTTGCCCTGTAGTTTCAGTTGGTTATCTATTGCTGGGGTTAGCAAAGAAAATACTTCCTTTAGTGTTGTGGTAATAGTGTTCTACTCTTAGTTTTTCTTCAGATAATTTCTTTGAGAGCTGATGCCATTAGATCGCCAATGACAGGTAGAAAGAAAGTTGTCAAAGATGCGCGTGTTTCATATATTTTCTGGCAGAAAAGCAAAAGAGACCATTTAATTGGCACTGTTCCTGCTAATATTCATAAAATTGCCTCACAGTTCATAATCTATTGTCAAAGAATTTGCAAAGGACTGATTTCTGCCCTCTTTCTTTAGCTTGAGTAATTCACTTTGTCAAAATAATATTAACATGAACATAACAGAAGTTAAGAAATTTTTATTTTATTATACCCAAAAGGAAAAATATTTGAAAGACTTTGTAGCTTTATGGCACTGCTGTATCCTACAATGAAATGTTACTTTCAAAAGTGAAGAAAGAGTCAAGTACTTTTCTTTTGCCAGTAAATGTCAAATGTTGCAAACCGATGTGAGATTCAAAGGGTTTAGGGGCTTTGCAGATTTTTAAAGCATAGTTTCCAAATAACCCGCCATTTTTTTTAGTAAGACTCTGTAAAATACGTATTTCCTTGTTTTAACTCAGGAGCTCTAGAACCACATTCAAGCTTTGTTGAAGTATTTAAAACTTAAGCCTCTTGATGTTCAATATTTACCGTCCGCATTTTTAAGTGGAAAATAGCACTTTACTGTTATAAAAATTCTGTTATAAAAATTTCCCATTAATGTGTCAGTTATATTCATTAACATGAATTTAGTGATCACTTTACACATGTCATAAGAGACTGAATTTTGTCGTGTGGTAGTAATGCACGCATTTAATCCCAGCACTTGAGAGGCAGAGGCAGGCAGATTTCTGTGAGTTCGAGGCCAGCCTGGTCTACAAGAGCTAGTTCCAGGACAGTCAGGGCTCCAAAGAAACACAGAGAAACCTTATCTCAAAAAACCAAAGAGAGAGAGAGGGAGGGAGGAAGGGAGGGGGGCTCAATTTTTAAATTAGTACAGTTATTGGGAAGCAAGAAAGGAGTGATGTTTTATTCCTCTACGATTTAGTGCTAATGTAGCAGAAAATAGGTCAGCATAAATGATTGTAAAAGTGTACTAGTAGGTCTGAGAGTATTTTCCTTGCTTTTTCCCCCCAGACTCCTTTGCCTGAAATAGGAAGGCGGGTGAGAGTGAATAAATATCAAAAGTCTGTTGGCTGGCGATACAGTGTGAGTACTAAACATCTTCATTAGCACCTCCAGAGGCTCCCCTTTAATTTTAGGCTTCAGTTCATCATTCTGTCTATATTGGGTACCTCCAAAATGCTCCTGCTGGAAAGGATAACGTGTATATCTTCTACTGCTCATATAGATTCAGTCATCATAGTTGAATTCTAACATCTGTCAAAGAAGAGGAGGGCCTAGAAGAAATGTTCCTTTGCATGCTCAATTATCGGCTGCAGGGCAAACTTTGAGTTTATCTACAGAGTATAGAACCTTCTCATTAGCTAGCAACAGAGGAAGAGTTGACTGTAGCGAGGATAACTTTTCTCCTAAAATTGACCTTAGCAAACTCCTTTTTATATGTCGCATGTCTTCTTTAGAGTGAATCACTGTTGTTCAGTTATGCTGCTCACAGACGTCATTGTATATGAATAGCCAAATTATGCCTACCTAGTCTGTATATTACAAAGCCAATACACAAAGTAGAAAGCCATCAGGGTGCTATCCTAACACTCTTCAGATATTTGTCCACAATACTTTAACACAAAAAGGCGTGTGAAACACTTTCATCTTGTAGAATTTTTGAGATGCCCCTTAACCCATGATCACTGACTTTAGAATAAGTTCATACATACAGAAATATGGCTTACAAAAGACCTTAGTTTTCTATCAAAATATTATATGCACATAAAACCAAAATTATTATTGATATAAATATGAATCCTTGATTATTTTTTCTAGCTTTCTCTCCTGCCTTCAAATAAATAAAGTTCAGATATTTTCGGCCTTTATGCTTTAGTAAATATAGTGTCATGTACGTTAAAAATAACCCTTTCTACTAATACAAATAAATGCATTTAGAACCTTTCTAGGTACATGAAAAATCCATTGCAAAATACCTTCATGATTTCATGATTTATCTGTTACACAACAGGCTTATTTTGTTTATAATGTGTCATAATAGTACAAATATATTCAGAGGAAGCAGCTGTAACTGCCTTTGGTAGATCAAAAACCCACTAAACAAATGGGATGAAAACTAGAAATATTTGACCAATTGTGTTTTCCTCAGAAGGGTATATTAATGAAAAAATTTTAAAGTCTCCAAGAACTTTCTGGTATTCTTTCCATATAAAAAGAGGATTTTGCTTGTAGCATTGGTGAATTTACAAAGGGAATTCTGGCATCCTTGAGCTGCCTTCTGACAAAAAGCAGGGGATCCAGGCCAGTCTGGGATCAACTGGCAGAGAGCCAGGAAACACTGTAGCATCATATTACTGGGAGATGTGTGAGAGTTTTAAATTACCCACTTGGCCTGATGGATATTATGTACTTGTGTGTTTCTTACAAGCTCAACTTCCCGTTAATTGAGAGTGGCAAACACACTAATGCTTTCCAAACATATCTGATCTTCATTTATTTGTTTTGGGAGAGTTTACATTTATGTGGGAAGCCCACTCTTGGAAGTTTTATTTTTTTAAGTCATGTATTTTGAATTCTGTGATTATGTTTTAGTAAAGAACATTGTTGCTAGCTAATCAGTTAGTATCTCTAAATCAGCTTGATTATTTTAGCTAAAAGTGTGTTAGTTGCACATACACAGATCTTCTATGAAGACAGGGAGATGTTCCTGTTTTCTACTGTATTTTTTAAGTAAAGGGAACCTTGGGAAGAAAAAGTGGGTAAAAAGAGAAGTATTAGTAATACACTGAGTATTTGCTCTTTTCTGATGAATTTCAACTTATCTTTTTGATAGTTGTCTTTTGAAACTATGCTTCTCACCTCAATGATCTCACCTAACTAGGTGGAATTCAGGTATCAATAAATTGGTAATTCTTAAAAAGAGTACGTCAACATTCCCTGAGCACCAAAACCATATCTCAACTCTTTCTAATTTTATGCTGCCACCAAAGGATGTAGAAGTATTCATTTCTGTAGATAGATGTGCTTTATGTATTGATTAAAATTACAAAAGAAAAATATCCAGTTACTTAGATTCAAACAAATTCCACATATACATATCTGTAACTACTGTGTGTATCATATGTTGCATTGTGTATTTATCTGCATTGTGTATTTATCTGTTCAGTCTCTAGCTAGTCTGTTAGCATGCATAACTCTGACAGAATGTGTACTACAACCTTTTAACACAAATCTGTGAAAATAATCAGTGAGAGTAAATCATTTCTTGTTTTACAGACGTGATGTACTACTGTTATGATTAGGAAAACTAAATTTTTTGTAAACTTACTTGACAAGATTAAAATCAAATAAACCCATACCTTTAAAATGTACTAAATGATAGTCACAACATTTTGCTACTAGCTCTATAAATGTAAAAGAAAAATTCTGACTGAAAATAGATCAAACACTTAGCCACGAGAGCAATAAAGTGCTTTACAAACTATAAAATGCTTAGAAAATAACATAAAGGTAAATACTTGGGATTGATTTTGATTTGATGATGAATCTTTACATATGATACCAAAACTAATAAACTAAAACAATAATAAGTTGAACGTTTTCAAAAGTAAAAATGTGTGTGCTCCAAAGAAAGCATGAAAGTTTAAGGCAACCTGGAGAATTGGTGGAGATACTTACAAATCCACTATCTTATAAAAATTTGTATCTAGAATATCTAAAAAATAGCTTACACTTATATAATGAAAAGTCAACCCAACATTTAAACATGCAAAGAATTTTTTTATTTCAGTATTTTGCAGCACACACGCTAATAAAAAATTCCTAAGATAATCTGAAACCAGTTCTTACCAGGGTATTAGAACTCAAAATCACATGCTACTATAATGTCACTCTCAAAGAACAGATGTAACAGCTTTGGGTGCATGTGCAACAGTCAGAACTTCTTATGTATGTTATGTTGTAAGGCAAAGAGATGCAGTTGCTGTTGAAAATGAGTTTGGCGTTTCATCATAATATTAAACATACTAGAATCACCCGAATGAAATGAAAACTTTTACGTTAAATTTCATGTTAATGCTCATAGAAACATTATTCATGGTACCCAGAAGGTAGAAATAACCAATGTGTCCATCATTTGATTGATTATAAACCAAAATAAAAGAAGTACTGATATTTTATGAGTGGATATTTCATGCATAAACCTCAGAAATAGCTAGTCTGATGTGACTACATATTAAAAATTTTCTTTTATGTACTTTGGATAGAATGTAAATTAGTGGTTTCTCAGAACTAAGATGAGTGTGGTAGAATTGGGGCCAGGCTATGAACCAAAGTTCATAGAGTTTCATTTTAGAGGAAAATTATTCTGTGATTGACTGTAATGATACATACACACATACATACATACACACATTTATATGTGTATATACATTCATACATATATATAAATGTTACTAAAAACAATTAGATGTTTCATTTTAAGTGACTTAAGCCTATATTGTGTGAATTGCCTCTCAATAAAATTAGAAAAAAATGACACCACTCATTGGATACTTTCTCATGGTGTAGTGCTGATTTTCAATGGACACATTTTAAGAACTTCTGAATTAAAAGAGCCTTAGCTTACTCTTTCTTTTTGCTCCTAAATTGTAATTTTATCAGATATTTCCATCACTGTTTATTCTTGATATCTTATTTTCAATTACTACAGAATATACTGTTACTATAAATTTTTCTTTTATAAATATATTGTACTTTTGAGATGAACTGCTACCAGTTTGCTTGGCTTTAAACTTTGCTGTCTGGTTTTACTACTTAGGATGAAGAAGAGGATCTCAGGACCGAACTCAATCTGCTGAGGAAGTACTCTTTCCACAGAAACATTGTGTCCTTCTATGGTGCCTTTTTCAAGCTGAGTCCTCCTGGCCACAGGCATCAACTTTGGGTGTGTTTTTCTTTGCCCTGGTCTTTCTCTATAAGAACAGTCAACACAGTGAAAGAATTGAGATGTGATGCTTACTTTCTGACTAGAAAATCCAAGCCCTCAGTTGTTCAAGATAGCGTGGCAAAATGTATTCTGACTCCTTGGGACAGCATGTTAAGAAATGAGAAGAATAGCACATGCCCGACTCGGAGCTTTCCAGTGCGATGGAGGAGGAGCCAAATGAACACTGTTGATTCAAATTTCAGACTGTAAATGACAGCTTTGCTGGTTTTACTTTTTCCTGGTTTCCAGGTGACTTGATGGTCTTGAAACAATAAACAGATGAGGACAAATTTGATTTAGTAGTTGACATGAACAGATAGCTATGTATTAGGTGCTTTGACATATGTGCACTTATACATACATATAGCAAAATGGTTTGTTTATTTGCCATCATGGCTGGGCTATTATAAATTCCAGATCAAAAAATAGAAATTTCAGTAACTAACTAACTGGATTAGTTACTAGAATTTTTTCCAAACTCGCTCCACTGTCTTAGACAATGAGCTTTAGTCAATGAGGACTTTAAAATAGAGAATTTGGGACAAAAACTGGTGCAATGCCTTTTTTAAAAATAACAAAAAGTTTTTAGGTTATTTCAGTGTCAATCAAAAGTCCTACTACATTCTACAGAATGGATTTTGGAAATTGGGCATTTCCTGCTGGAGAAATGCTTATAGCAACACATTCCAGTGAAATTCAAACTTTAGCATCAATCTTGGATCTTCTGGAGAACTTTCTATAACACCAAATGCTGAACCACCTTCACAGATTTTAAATTAAGTAGGTCTGAATAGTCTGTCAAGTTTAGACTTCTTAGTAAGCTCACAGATGATGGTGGTGCTCCGAGATTACTACCAGAATTCTTAGAACCATCAAATTTAGGGATGTTCAAATTAACCCTCTTTTTATCAGATGTCTGGCAACTTGAATTCTCTATTCTCTGACAATTTTAGTTGTAATCTTATTAAATATTGTTCCACCACTCTATGATTACCTTATTTAATATTTCTCTGCATACTGTATTTTTCATAAAATATTATAAAATTTAGCTTTCACACAATATGTAAAGCTATTAGAAATATTAACTCTTGTTATCAGATATTAGTATTCTGTTCATTCAGTCATTTTAGCCCATTAAGAAATGAAAGTAAATCTAAGGTTAACAATGTGCTTCTGTAGAGTCTTTAAAGACTTTGCATATCCAGGCAAACTTTTCTCTTAAATACTCCTTCTTTTTCTCTCCAGTCAACAGGCAGGCTTCTCCTTCTCACACACTTCTTTTCAAGGTCGGGGGCATTTGTTTTAAATATATATATAAACCTAAATGATCTTCCTTCTAAATATTTCAAACTACAACCTACGAACATGAATTAGTTCAAACCCCAACTGCTAATGAAACATTCAAATGTGGTTCCTGGTTTATCTACTTTTATAAATTCTCCTTCCACTGTTGAAAGTTTTAACAAATACGCAATGCTTTTGTGGATCATCTGCAGATGGTGATGGAGCTATGTGCAGCAGGCTCAGTCACTGATGTAGTGCGGATGACAAGAAATCAGAGTTTAAAAGAAGATTGGATTGCTTACATCTGTCGAGAAATTCTTCAGGTGAGTATATAAATAATACTTAATTATAATAATTATAATAATCCCTGATCTTAAAAGAACCCAGCACTAAAACAAACAATCACACATATACACACACAAAGTTTTACATATATACATATGCATAAAATTTATATAATATATATATATATATATACATATGTATATATCCTGACTAAGAATTTTAGATATAACGTGAGGATAAGGAATTTCTTCAGAGACCCAAAAGCTCAAATCATAGCCTTGAATGGCTCTCTGTGAGTTTCATGCTACTGTGTTCATCAGATCGTGGGTTTGACATTATGATTTAATTATTTTTTAAGCATAGCACTATTATCATAGGTTAAGATGAGGTCTAGTCATGAAAAGTCAGTGCTTTACAGTGTGACCCCAAACCGTTGCTGCCTTTTAAAAAGGCATATATCATCTTTGAAAACACCCCCACATTTTCTTTACTTCTCACATTAAATTGGATGAAAACAATGAGCTTCTTGGTCAGCCAACTTCATTTGGTGTTCAGTGCTTAGGTCATTAGTGTCACTGAAAAAGGATATTAATAAAATGAAGAATACCCCAACACTTTGGAATGGCATTCTTCCAATTTTGTTTGAATTTGTGATAACAATGCAAATCATATACCAAGTTTAGATTTCAGTTCGTCACATGTTAGTTGTATGACCTTTAATCAGTTTCTTGATTTTCCCATGTCTCATTTTCCTTTTCCACAATATAGGAGGATAGCATATTCTCCAAAGGAATTCTGGGATAACTTAGTGATGATTCCATTTAAACCATTAGCACCATGTCTGGCACAGAATAAAAGCTCAATAAATGTATTATTAATGCCCAACTAGTGTCTGGCATGATCTCACTTAAATGTAATACTGCATACAATGTCATGGTTTAGCCAGGTCTTGGGGTTCTTTCAGTGCTGAATGGGCTGGAGCCAGCAAGGTAAGCCAACACAAATTGTACACACTTTAAAACGAAATTCCATATTCACTCAAATTCTAGGTCTATAGTATTCATCAACAAATATTTTGGATTAAACAAATATTTGGATAAAAAATAGAAGAAAACAGTTAATAGTTAAGATGCCCATGTCCTGTCATGACTAGTCAGAAATATGGAGGCTATAAAGGAGGATAAAGTTTCCCAATCTATATAAATATTACTTTTTAGTGTTCTTTTTCTTTCATGAGTATTCTGATTTATTTTCCTTTCCTTATAGCCAAAAGCAGTATTTCTGGGAACTGGTTGTAGTCATTCCAGCCTAAAGAAAGAATTTTGTTTGAAAAACCAAATGTGAACCATTTTTCTTAACAAAAGATTTTTTTTTACCCAAAGAACTTAAAAGCCATCCTAGAAAACTGAAGAAATAATACATATCTATATATTTACTTGACTTTTGAAATGTGTATGTATGTACAGGGCTTAGCTCACCTTCATGCACACCGAGTAATTCACCGGGACATCAAAGGCCAAAATGTGCTGCTGACTCATAACGCCGAAGTAAAACTAGGTAAGTTCATCCCTGCAAGGGTTAGGTGAGGAGGGATGTGAAAAGGAATACCTTTCATCATAGCAGTGCCAATGTAGTATCTGGGTTTGCTTGAAACTTTGGCATGGAACTGACATGAAAGTAAAAGGGGCGTGCCTAATGACTTCTTTGAAACTGCAAATAAACTAAATATAATAGACGTGTACTTTTTGGTCATTTAGTGCTTTATGTTAGAGATAGCTCTCATACTTATTTCAGCGATTGAATTATGGTAGGTAATAACCATTTCAAAATATTCCTGCTCATATTTGAAGACTATGACGTAGCTTTCAATTGCTTAGACATAAGTTTCTTATTTGCACTTATTATTTAAAATTATATTGATCAGAAGTGATGTTGCAGCAATATAGAAACCAAATTCTGCATTTCCCATTTTCTTGATAAATAAACAGAACCAGAGTAGAGATTTTGGTCATTAAGAATATTTATTGAATATTTGTGGAACAAATGAGAAAATAATTGTGTGTTATTGAAATAACAGTAGTTTTGAGACAATGTACCATGCCTTATATGCATAAGCTACAGAACTAGCAACATAAACTGCACAGATCACATTACATCTTAAGCAAAGCACATGAACATGACAGCTACAGAAGCAACACCAAGAAAGATACTGTAAAATGATAATAAACTCCATAGTCTGTACCTTGTTTCACTAAGAAAATACAAATTATTTCATTGTTGACTTTTGTTTTGATTTTGTTGTTATTGCTGCTTTTGCTTTGAGACAGAGGCTCTCTGTGTAGCTCTGACTGTCCTGGAGCTCACTCTTGGCTAAGTTAGCCTTGAACTCAAAGATACTCCTGCCTCAGTCTCCTGAGTGCTGGGATTATAAGTGTGCATCACCACACCCAGCTTCATTGTTGAGTTTTCAACTCTACATTTTATCATAAATTTCTGCTTGCCTTTTGAAATCTTGTATTTACCATTATTTTTTCTAGAATTTCTGTACTTGTTTTCCCTGCATATTTGGGCTATATCAGTTTATGTCCTTCATAGGTCTTTCTTGGCCTTTGAGTTGGCTATTGGAGAGTAGGAATGTTAAGCTGTTATGTAAAGAAATGCTTTTTAAAACTTTAGATAATGAGACCAATGGTCTTCAAAAATATTTGAAATAGTCCTTGCTCTTGTTAGATGCTCTCTGAAAGACTGCCTTAAAATATTAATTTTATTTCATTTTTCTTTGATTCCACTAAATTATTCAAGCTGCTTTTCAGTTATTTTGTTCACCATCTTCCAGATTCCCAGAAACTATTATAAATTTGAAAATATACTTCATATTTCATCCCTGTCTTATTGTTTTTGGAATTAGTAACCCAAGTCTACTTCAGCTCTTTTCTGTCTGTTTCTCAGGATACCATACTAAATATTTTCTTACAATGTATCCCACAGATGAACGAGAAACTGAACTTTTATAGCACAAAACTAAGATACAGATAGTCCAGACAGTGTTTGTACCTGATTCAGAAGATCTGGATACTTATTTAGCTTCTACCAGGAAGATCATTTTTCCTTATCAGTGGGATTGGAGTTTCCGATGTTGTGCATGAGACTTCCTAACTGTTACCAGTACTTCCATTACTAAGATGTGGCTCAGAGCGCTATTCATCCTGTAGCTTGGTGGCAGATCCAAGCTCTACGTATGCCATACGCCACATTTTAGTAATCAGTGGAACTTTATTTTTAATATTCATGATAAACATTTATCCAAACCTACATTAAATTTATAACAGCACTGTTGGGTCTCATTCCAACATAAATAGCAGCTAAAGCTCATTTCCCAGTATTCCTGGAGAAGACTTCATGGTAAAGTTTTCTGGGCCAGAAAGAAAATTTGTTATCCATTGTGGCTTTTGTATTGCCTTTCCAAGTTAAAGCAATAACTTACTGAGATTTGTGTTCCTGATTAATTATTTTGACATATGTAGTGGATTTTGGCGTGAGTGCCCAAGTGAGCAGAACAAATGGAAGAAGGAACAGCTTCATTGGTACACCTTATTGGATGGCCCCTGAGGTGGTTCATTGTGATGAGGACCCAAGATGCTCCTATGATTACAGAGTGAGTAGGCTACTTCAGACAGGGAGAGTTCAAATTTGAAAAAAAAAAAAGTTGACTACGTTTTTCTTATTTATGAAGATTGATTTTTTTAATGTGGATGTATGTGTCTGTATGAGTGTATATACACATCTGTGTGCAAGTGTCCACGGAGGACAGAAAACAGCATGCAATGCCCTGTAGCTATAGTTATAATTAGTTGTTAACCACGTGACTGAGTGCTGGGGTCTGAATCCTGCTCTTTATGATTAAGCAACAAGTGCTCTTAACTACTGAACCACCTCTCTAGATCCAACTATGTCCACTTTAATGATAAAAAGATACAAAGTAGTTCTTCCTTTTAAATAACCTCTAATTAGGTATAGTAGTCTTTATTCCTATATGTGGTTTCGTAGTATGCATAAAAAGAATATTGCCTAACAATGAAGGCAAAGTCGAACACTGGCACTTTTTCAGATTCAGGAGGGAATATCTAGTTCAAGTTGTTGGCAACTTCTTTATAAAAATATATTAGATGGCTTCATTTGGAGATTTAACTTCCAAGAGCAGAGGAATTTCTAAACTCAATAAAATGAAGCCAGGACTGGGGCCTCAAGACTGTAATCCCAACTACTTGGGCGATTAAGGCAGGAATATTAGGCCTGCTTGAGCTACAAAATGAGTTTGCGTTCAGCTTTGTGTCAAAATTAAGAGTGACAAGTAGAGCTGATGATGCTGGCCAGTAGGTCTAACATTCATAAGGCCCTGCACTTAATCACCAGCTCCACACATATAGAATAAGTATAAGACAAATAATTAATTCTTATAAGTAAAAATTAAAAATAATAATTTAATTGCTTAGTATACCTTAGTATACCGGAGAAAATCTTTAGTATACCGGAGAAAATCTTTGGCATTTGTCTCATCTCCAAAACCACAGAAAATCAGTAGAATAGAAATTTAACAATTTGAGGTATATTTAACATTTCAACTGAAATTTCAATTTGAAATGAACGTATAAATATATATATACAAACATATATCCCAAAAATTCAATATGGAAAGGCACAAAACTCCCCATTTGCTAAAAACTAGAAAACCTCACTCACTTACCACATCATAAGTCTCCAAACAATTCACTGTGATCTTTCTCTGTAGTACTTAGGACTCAATACGTGAAATCGGTCAATTTACATTTTATATTTTATCTCTTTGCCGTTTTCTCCAATGTCCTTTGCTTGTTCTGTAAAGTAATTATTTCCTGAGAGCCTATTGCATTTCCCGCTCTACAGCGAGAGCTATGAACACCACAGAAACTAAGTTTTTCTTAGCTCATTTACTGCAAGACATGGTAACTTATATCTGTCTAAATTTTACAGTCTTCCAAGTACTTTAATTTGTTTTTATTATTTAATCTGAAAATAATTGAAAGAAACCTTAAGTCTCTTTAAAAGCAAAGTAAAGGCATCTATAAACTGAGGCTCCAAAACTAGAGCAAACTATTTTAAGGGCCAACCAGTATGCCTCTAGTATGTTGCCTTTTATTCTTTCCCAAATACACATTTTATTTAAGTATGATATCTGTGCTCATGCATCTGCATGCTGTGTGCATGTAAAAGCACATGGGTGGAGCTCAAAGGAAAACTTGTAGAAGTCAATTCTTTCCTTTCAACATATGGATCCTGATGAGTGAACTCAGGTCGGCAGGTTTGGAAGCTAATGTCTTTACCCACTGAACCATCTCACCAGCTCCCTTTTTATACTTTGACAAACCAAATACAGCTGATAATGGTGAAGATAGTTTATAAGTGCTTCATAATGTTTTGTAGGTTCAGTTGATTTTATCCCAGGAGCTAATGAAATATGTATTCAATAATTTATACAAAATATATCAGCAAATATAGTTTACATGTAGAATAATTTGTATGTTAATGTTTAACTCATAAATTATTAAATATATCTATATTTATTAAATATATGTACATATGCTCATATACATATACATATGTATGCATAAGAATCCTATGAAGTGGATATTATTAAAAAGCATTCTACATTAAATAAAATTAAATGAAATACATAGAATTAAATCGCTGGGCAGTGGTCATGCATGGCTGGGCATGGTGGTGCATGATTATAATCCAAGCACTCGGAAGATAGAGACAGTGGGGTCTCTGTGAGTTCGAGGTGTTCCTGGTCTACAGAGCTAGTTCCAGTCAGCTGTAATTACACAGAGAAACCATGTCTCAAAAAAAGTTACTTTTTATATTTAAAGTGGAACAGTAATAGAAATGCGCCCAGGATGAACTTTCTTTCCGCTGAATATCATTCCTTAGGAACCTGTGGAACAGTGAGGTGCTGGCTGGTCACAAACCGACGCCTTTTTGTAATTTCAGTCTCTAAAGATTTTTATTACAAAAAAACCATTAAATGGCTCTCACATTGATATTCCATTCCTGCCAAAATGTTTTGGAGATTCTTAATAGTAATTTCCCATTTTAATAGTAGGTTTCTTGCTCTCATTTTTAGAGTGATGTGTGGTCTGTGGGAATCACTGCTATTGAAATGGCTGAAGGGGCTCCGCGTAAGTACAAATGTTTGCTATAGTTAATCTGTTTAAAAAATTGTGGAGCTGTATTGTACAAACCTGCACCTCTAAAAAAATGATGCTAACACTTGAAACAGTCAGCTTTGATTTGGCTACGTACGTGACATATCATGTACCAAACCATAAATGGTCGTGTTTTCAATAATGACCAAACACCATGGTTAAAAATCACCATATGTAAATATATGATGTATTTCTTATCATTTTATCTTTCTTATGACTTCTCTTTTAATATCTACTTCTCTGTCCATCTCTTCAAATTCAGAATGTGATAGTTGGCATTAGTTTTATTTTGAGATTTTAAGTAATGAAAAGGGACTGAAGAGCGAACTCATAGGAGGGCAGAAAAGTTTTGTATAGGGGTTGTAAATGGCAAGCTTCTTTAGAAGAATGAGTGAGGGCCAGGAGATTCTGAACTCACAAGCAGATAGACCGTTTCCTAGATAATTAATGAAAATTACTTCAATCACAAGCAACTCTGGATAGCCTCCCTATCAAAAATTTCTCTTTCACTACTATCCTTTATTGCCTGGAGTATTTACTCTGCATGAAAGCGATACTCATCAATTTAACTGTAGCAATCTTCTAGGTTATGATAATTATCATCTCAGAGGGAATAGTTTTCCAAAACCACACTTATCAGATGGTGTCTTCCAAGATTTAGGTAAGAAAATTATCATCCTTTGATCTTTTGTACGTCAGGCTCTCCCAGAGAAACAGAGAAAAGGAAGAGGAAAGCTCAGCAGGGAGAGGGCGCTTTACCAATAGAAAACAGAACCTTTTGGAAAGCAGGAGCTGTCTCAGTTCTTCGGGTATAGGTGGGGACGTCAGCAATATGGGGGCTTTTTTCACTGAGGCTGGAAGATTTATAGTAGCATTCAAACACCGTAACATCGTAGGTCACAAGTTGAAGAGTTGTGCTTCTGAGCCTCTACCTTTTTTTATGGCAGTGTGGATCTTCTGCTTGTTGCAAAGCAGAATGAGGACAAAAATTCCTCCCAAGTACCAAGTCAATTTGCTTTCATCTGAGCCATATATTTCCCTATTTTTGCAGTCTCCTGGATATTGTGTAAAGTATTTTAATATTGTTGACCATTTTTCTATTAGCCATTTTTAATTGATTTGTTAGACTGGTAATGGAAATATTGACTTAAAGTAATGTTTTTATTAAAACAAATTTTACTTTAAGTTGTTATACATTTATTTGTATCTGCTTATCTCTTAGTCTATTTAACAGGATATGTGGATGAACACTGAGACTTTGGAATGAGCAGTAGGGTCTGCAGTTACCCTTTAATTTCTTTCTAAATTTGTCTGTTTCCCTTAACAGCTCTGTGTAACCTTCAGCCCCTGGAAGCCCTTTTCGTTATTCTACGGGAATCTGCTCCCACAGTCAAATCCAGTGGATGGTAAACATGAATTTCTTAAATATATTGATTCAGTATTTTATAACAAAGTTTTCATTAATTTGGTCATTCTTGCTTCAACATTTTTATTGGGCAACATTTTCTGTATTCCAGTATCTTAACTTGGATGTCTAAATAGCCAGTTTTCAGCAGGATATAAATGGTTACCTAGAAATATGTAGTATTCTCTATAATAATATATGATGAGAATATTATAGTCTTTTCATCAATAGCCATTTTCATCTGCTTCTATAGCAATGAGGTGAAGCAATGGCACCCATAAGCAATACTTTTCATGGTGCCTAGACATTCAGTGAATAATTCTGATATACAGCCTTACTGGTTGGCCCATTAAATTAAACATCCATAGACTTGAAGAATTCCTTCTGCATTGTTATAGACCAGGCAACCTTGAGAATTCTGATCTATGAAGCTGGTTAATCCAGTTAAAACTTTTACACAAGATTAGTAAGAGGTTGCAATTGTTATTTCTTTGCTGGCATTTTTTATGAACTTAACTCTTTCCATGTATGTAAGCTGTTGTCCTCTTTATCAGTGCATTCTTTTGAAATCATAGTGAAGCTTCTGTGGCTAGAATTGTGTATAGCAAGTAAAGCATTCACCTCCAGAGGATGAATGTTAAAACCATAGGACCAGTCTACACTCCCTGACAACATATGCCACATTAATCTTTTAACTGCCATCTTATTACATGGCCTTTACCATGTACGTGCTGCCAAATTCATTGAAATTTCTATTGAGTAGAAAAGTCTGTTTACTCGACTTCTGTTTCTGAAGTTTAAATGACCTCATTGTAGAACGTATATTGTTAAGTCATGGAATATTTGCTAACTGAAAGACAAATAGAAATCTAGCATGCCTTTCAGAATGTGTGGCCTTGAAAGTAGCCCAGTGGTCGGATAGGAACAATGCAGCAAGTGACAGTGTCTTTCATGTGTGTGCTTCATTTATTGCAGGTCCCGTAAGTTCCACAATTTCATGGAAAAGTGCATGATCAAAAATTTCCTATTTCGGCCTACATCTGGAAATATGCTTCTTCACCCATTTGTTCAGAATATTAAAAATGAACGGCACGTTGTGGACTCCTTGACAAAGCATCTTACTGGAATCATTAAAAAGAGGCAGAAGAAAGGTAGAGATGGCAAAGTTTTGTATCATTCAGATAAGAGAGGATCTTAGATTTTTTTTGCTGATTTTAGTTTCATATTTGTTTAAGAATTTAGTTATTCGGACCTGGAGAGGTGGTTCAGCAGGGAAAATGTCCTGAGGTCAGTTCCCAGAATCCATGTCAGGTTGCTCATAACCAACTTCAACTCCACCTCAAGTAGACCTGACATACCCGGCCACTGTACGCACACACACACACATATAAAAACTTAGTCTGAAAGTGAAAACCCTAGAGTCATTTGACATTTAGGTTTTTCAATGTTGCGTGTCACTAATTCATATGATTACCTCTTTTGTGAACATTTATCTATGAAGTTATTAATTTTTCCTATCATGTATTAAATATTCATATTTACAAGGCTTAAGTCTCAAATTCAAATAGAATATTGTATTATGGATATACTATTTTAAGTAAACTTCAAACTAAAGAAATTGAATCAACTCTTAGGAAATAAATGTGCTCATGATTACAAATTTAATGAATTAATTTTGAAATAATTTGTATATATCATGTGAAGTTAATTTTATGTTCAAATCACAAAATATCAGATAAAATTAAAGAAGATAATTTATGTACCCAAAGGTAATCTTGTACCTATTGATGCCAAAAGGTGACATGATTTTAGTCAGTGTAGAAGAAAATACTCAGAAATGTCCAATTTCATATTTTCTAGAATTTTCTGCATTTAATTTCAGGGACCATAGACAGTGTCCAGAGTAACTATGGAGTGGGAAACAGGGAACTTGAAAAGGGTAGAAAGCATGCTAAGATCTAATCAACAGTGGGAGTTACTGCAGTATTGCTTGTCCCATCTACAAAATTATGTTTCCTTTTTCCAAATGGGGAGCTACAGGGTTCTTTATGCTCCTCTGATAATGAAGTTATTGGGTCCAGCATCATACAGGTCAGTCGTTCTCAAACTGTTAAGGAACAAGGAACATTAGCCATAATTTGATGAAATCTAGAGTTATAAGATTTCAAAGAAATGTTACTTACAGGAAAGTCCCCATTTATTTGGAGATTACTCTAGAAATATAATTAGAGCTGTCTTAAGCGGTTTAACACAGGGAACTGAAAAAAAAAAACTCTTCCATTTGTAAGATTCTACATTTTGGTCGTAACAGCACAGCTGACAGAAGGAAGCTGAATGTGTTATGTTAAGTATCAAACAAGCAAGGCTGCCTTAGAGCCCTGCATGAAGAACTCCCTCAGTCAGGTGGTTACCTAAGTGAAAAGCACTTCAACAACTTCAGGGACAGCCACCGTGTTTATGCCACTATAGGCTTGGGATCATACACACACGTAACTAAGCCTCTTTTAGAACAGACTCGGAGCAGTGATCATGGCCCTACAGGTCAACCTACATCAGAAAGTTATTCTTGTTCCTCCTATCCCCTTTATTCTATTTTTCCTTTTACCTCTTTAGAACTGCAGCAATCATATTGCTAAAAATTTTCCTTCTTTATTTCTAGAGAAACTAATGTCTGATATATCTCTACTGTGTTTCAAAAGTATACCTTGAGAATTGGCACCAACAGCCAAGTATGTTTGAGGAGCTGTCTTATTTGTTGTGTTCTTACTGTTTGAATGCACTCTACATCCTGAGCCTTAGAATCTGCTAGGCAACTAAGTGGAGTCACACACTGGTTATGCATCATTTCCTGTTCTCTTTTTCATAATAAGGCATACCTCTGGTCTTCGAAAGAGAAGCAGCTATTAAGGAGCAGTGCACCACAAGGAGATTCAGGTGTGTTGGGAAAACTAAATATATAATCAGATAGCAGCATGTTACCTAAGAAAGTAGATTTGATACTATTGCTTTCTGCTCAAAACAATTTAACCCTTTCTGATATAAGACAAACAAGCAAAAACACAGCATACTTCTGCTCTATGAGCTGTCGTGTGAAAATACTGAGAATTTGTGTTACTATTCCAAAACGACTTTATATATATCAATAGAATGATCATGTAGAATGCCAACCTACACTAAGGATTTAATCCATTAGCACTATATATTACCTGCAGACTGTTTCAGACATTGCAAGAATTAGTCCAGAATTCTTTGTTATCTTTGTGGAGCGGGGGCGCGGGGCAGGGTGGCTGTATCTTTTAAAAACTAAATCAATTATCATGCTTGAACTAGTTCTTCTGAACACTCTCTGTATATGACAGTCATCTGCATTTTTATTTTAGAGGACCTTCTTGCACTCCTGAACTTCTGAAAATGCCAACTAGCAGCAAATGCAGACCACTTAGAGTCCTGCATGGAGAACTCCCTCAGCCAAGGTGGTTACCTGACCAAGAAGAGTCACGACTCCAAGCCCTTCAGCAACTGCATGGGGCAGCCGGAGGGTTCATGCCTCTACCTGCTCAGGACAATCCACCCTTACAGAAGCAGGCTGAGGCACCACAGTGCCTCCATGGGGCAGCTCAGGAGTTCATGCCACTACAGGCGCAGGTTAAAGCTAAGATACCTACACCTCTACTCAAGCAGATTCAAGCACCTCCCCGACTAAAGAGAGCAGCTCGGGTGCTCATGCCACTCCCTACTCAGGATAAAGAGCCTAGTCCTCTAGAGGTACAGACTCCCACACCCAAACAACAGGAGGCCCAGTCTGAGCCCTTAGAAACAGGAGAGGCTAAAGATTTGGACCAGGTGCCAGAAGAATTTCAGGGGCAAGATAGGGCATCCGAACAGCAAAGGCAGGGCCAGGGTGCTGATCAACAGCAGAGGCAGAATCAGGTTCCAGAAGAGCATCTGGACCAGAACAGGGCACCTGAGCAGCCAGAGGTGCGAGAACAGGCTGTCGAGCCCCCACAAGCTGAAATTGAGGATAAGGAACCTGAGGTACTCCAAGTGCATGCCCAGGTGTTCCTGCCTTTATTGTCACAGAACCATCATGTGCTCTTGCCTCTTCACTTGGATACACAGCTGCTAATTCCTGTAGGGGAACAAAATGAAGAGTCACCTCCAGCACAGGCCTGGGCTCTGGAGGCCTCACAAGCTGTTGGCGCAGTTCAAGCACTGATAGAGGGACTATCAAGGGACTTGCTTCGAGCACCAAATGCTTATATCTCAAAACCACTTGGTCCACTGCAAATCTTAATGGAGAATTTGTCATCAAATGTGTTTTTCACTCAACCAGAACAGACACAGAAGAAAAAGTCAAAGGTTGCTAGTCTAAAGCAAGCACTGGCAAAAAGACTGTCACCCAAGAGGTTCAGGGCAAAGTCCTTATGGAGAATTGAGGAGTTTGATCTTTCCGATATAGAAGCCAGCAGGAGACGGCGCCAGCGTAGATGGGAGGACATCTTTAATCAGCATGAAGAGGAATTGAGACAAGTTGAAAATGTAAGATTTTGATATTTCTCCTTAGTGGAAACTATTAAGAAAATGTACTAGTTAATGCTTACGTATTTCCTCTGTGAAGCACAATGGAATTGTGCTTCTCCCAAACATTTACTAATTTGTACTTCAAAGGAATCTTTCTGAAATCTCCAGAGAATTGTGATCAAAAGAGGAAAAATTGCTTTAATAATACGTGTAATGGTTTAATGTATCTCTGTAGGAATTGTATCTTAATTATTAGGTGTTTGTTTTGCTTTTACCGGTTACTCCCTTAACTAGTAAAGGGATGGCATACAAACACTTAAAATAATTATTTGACTCTTGAAACATTTCTAACTTAAAATTCCAGAGTTGCCTCCATTTTTATTCCTCTAAGATGTGACTTTTGGGGACGAGAGAGATGGCTCAGAAGCTAAGAAAATCTGCAGCTCCTGCAGAGGACATAAGTTCAGTTTCCAGAGTCCTACATGGCAGCCCTTGACTGCCTGTAACTTGTCTTCCATGGGCGTCTGCACATATATGGTGCAAATGAATTGAAGTCGGCACATACATATAAATAAAAATAAGCAATTTTCTTTTAATCTGAAGTTGCTTATTTGTTATTTCTTGTCATAGAATGCTGGACTGTGCTACTTGTGTGAATTGCATTTGTTTGTACTTTCAGACATGTAAATTAAGATTAGGATAAGAGCAAAAAGACAGGGCTAGAGAGATGGATCAAAGAATAAGAGTACTTGCTCATTCAGAGGACTCAGGTTCAGTTCCCAGGACCACGTGACATATAACAATGATCGATAACTCCAGTTCCAGAGGATCTGATACCTTCTTCTGTTCTCCACACTGTGCACACATGGTGTACAGACATACATGTTGACAAAATACATATACAAATAAAATAAAAATAAAAATCTTTTTAAAAATGAGAATAAAACTAATTTCAAAGACACTTTGTATATAGTTGTCATATTTATGATTGTCTTCTTAAGGCTCCCATGCTTTTTTGTAATTATTCAGTGATGTGACTACATAGACCAGGGAACAAATGGGAACAAGTAGCTTCTCATTTCGTATCAGTCAATAAAAGTTCACTACTTCAAAACTCCCATATGTAGGTGGATAAAATTTGACAGGCTTTGTTAAATTTTATCTGGCAATAATAATCTGATAGTGAGTAGTTTGTAGGATTGATAAGCAAATTAGTAAGCTCGGGAAAAAATTAGGAGAACAGTTATTTTCTAATAGTTTTCAGTATCTATTTATAAAAAAGGAATTATTATATGATGATTAAACAGTTCACCACATCCACTTAAATAATAGCTGATGTATTACTTACAAATGAACCTTGTTTGAGTTTCTAGATAAGTAATTGTTTAGTATATGCACATTAAATCAGTTAAACAGTTGGCATATTTACATGAGAAAAGACTTTAAAAAGCAAAGAAAGAATGACTCAGAAGCAGAGATGGATGCATCACCTCCAGAATATAAAGAGATAGAAATCACAGGCAGAAGGGGAGATATGAGTCTGAAATGGTGATGTGGCAGGAATGAAGGCATCTAACATGCTAATGACTATTCTCAATGAGCTCTCTTAACCAGTTAGAGCTAATGGAATTTGCATCAGTGAACAAGACTTGATTTGATCCTGAAAATATTAGCAGCAGAGAACATACTTAGAATCATTGTTTTGGATTTATATATTTGGATTTATATATATATATATACATAACATACATTTGTATGTATATGTATGTATGAGAAACCATTTCAAAATGTAAGTAGGTCAGTGAACAATTGTTACCATCCTATGAACCTAGATTCCTACATAGGCATTCATATCTTTATATGTATTTTTTAAGAACAAGTTAAAGGAAATAAAATTTTTCATACTAAAGACAAAGTCATAGTTCTTTAAAATATATGAAATTTAATTGTAATTTAAGGACATGTCTGAGTGCTTTACTGTACTAATGAGAAAAATGCATATATTTTACTTGCAATTGGATGAGATAATGGAAGTTGATACATTTGATTGAACAATTTTTTAGCTCTGAGAACTTAATTTAGGAGGAATCTTTGCAACTCAGGACTAAATGTTGAAGTTATAGCAGCTCAACAAATGTACAAGTTAGCTTGTGATTATATGCTAATCAAGTGTTAAATCGGATTCATAATTTGGATCTCATAGATAAGCTTCAGGAAGGCAACAGTTGACCTGAGATCTATGCAAATGTGTGTGCAAAAACAACTTTAGTAGGTAATCAGTACCTTTTCTCATCTTGAAAAGGGATCCTTAACCAAAAGCTGTTAGAAGCTGCTCATTTAAATAATTTTTAAATATTAGCAAATTATTCATTCTGGTTACAAATTAAGATGATTCTGTCATTCTATCACTTGCACTCGTGTGGTCATTTAAACATTTCTATGATTTTGCTTTCAAAGGATAAAGAAGATGACTCATCAGACAATGATGAAGTGTTTCATTCAGTTCAGGCTGAAGTCCAAATAGAACCATGCGTTCCAAATCCTACAGGAAATGAGGTAAATTTCTCAATATGTGTTGTTAGGATATTAATAAGTACCTAGAAAAGTGCCTCTTAAACTTAGTGTTCTCAGGATCCCTTTATAATCCCCAATATTGAGAATTCTGTAAGGCTTTTGCATTATGTCATTCACTGTCTAACTTACAGAAAATTAAACTGAAAAGGTATAAATACATTTAGCATGATAAATAAATATAAAAAAATTGTATTTATCTTTCCCAAAATATTATTATAAGGATGTCATTGTCTCATATTTTCAGACGCTTTTAATCTGTCTTGCTTAATAGAAAACAGCTGTATGTTCATATCTACTTCATAATTCAATCTGTGACCATATGGTGTTTTGCCTGAGATATATGTATAAGAGCTGGCTTGTTACTTATAGATGGCTAGAAAGGGGGGAATTTTGTATAAAATTTTCAGATAATTGCGACTGTTGGAGATTTTCCTTCAGATACTTATGCATATTCTTTGGTAAAATGGCCAAACTAGATAAACAGAATCTAAAGTCATATTCATAAAATTGGATACAAGTAATTATATTAAAATCCATTGCCCTGTCTTAGACTATAAATAGATATTTCACTTATGCATGATTTCTAAATTCATGTATTCATCGATTGGAAGATATTAGTTCACTGTGTATACAGATTCTCCCAAATGTTTACATTCTGTTTTACAATATCAAAGCAGTACTTGTGAACATCACTACCAACTGTACCATAAATACAACTGAGTATTCATAGGTTGTCAAGTACTCGGGAACAGATACTAATTTACAATTTCTAATTATCCCTTGAAAGCTCATGTTTTTATAATTGCTGCCAAATTGCATCACTTTGATTTTTTTCTTAAGTTTGCAAACGAAATTCATTTAAAATATCTAGCATATGCACAAAGTTCAAGTAAGAAGGCTTTTCAGTGTTTTTAAAAATAGAACATTTTATATCAAAATGTTAGTAGTTTGATGTGTAGCATAACCACATGCCATCCTTTACCTTGACTGTGTCTGTTCCTGGTATACTCTTTGTCACAAATACGGGTCAGTTAACCTATGATTCATTTTCTCACAGAAGAGAAATTAGATGATTACATGTGAGGGTAACTTCTGTTTTGATGACCACATCAAATAATACAGAATTCAAAACACACATTTGTGAGACTGGGGTTGTGAGTTTTCTTCTCAAAAAGACATGGCAGCATTATCATGAGTTGGATTCCTAACAGCCAACATTACAAATTCATTTTGATCACTGAAATTATTTAGTATGTAGATAAATAACGTAACATTAATGGTCCTCTGGTGATGAGGGTTTAAAAGTCACACTGTTGCACACAATCAGCATAAGATTCTTCACAGAAGTGTACAATGAAATTTTTCAAGACTCTTAATTGACTAGTTAAGATTACTGTTTTGTGAATACTAAATATTTACAGAAGGAAGATAAGTGGGGTTGTGTCAGTTAAGGAGAACAGTCAATAATGTCTCCCTTGCTGCCTTAACACATGGCTTTGCTTGTATTCCCAGATGGTAGTTATTACCTTCAGCTTGACACTAAGCAAGATATGCAATGAAAAAGTAATGTTTGGTTTGGAACATATTGTGTCTTAATATACGCAATTCTTACTAATTTTTTTCTGTTTCCCATTTTTCATACCAAAGAATGTCAAGTCATATTAAGCCTTGCTTTTTCATTTTTTACCATTATATGAATTTAGTGATTTTTGACTTTTCTTTTAATAAGTATTGCTTAGTTTCTTGACTTGGCTGTAGTGGCATTACATATCTATAGTCTCAGATATAGGAGAGTGAGAGGCAAGAGGATCGTTTGAGCTTGGAAATTTTAGGGCAGCCTGTGGAACATAGGGACCTAATATCAAACATAAATAAAACAATATTTGAGTAAAATAGAAACTTTGTGAGATCAACTTCATAAGAGAACTAGAATTGACCAGGATAGCCAATTATCTAAACTGAAATTAGAAAACATTATTCAGAAAGATGCTCATCATGCATACTGTAAAACATCTGGTTATATTTGGAACTGCGTGTTAGCCAAATATGAAAGACAGATTCTCACCAATCTATCTGTTGCAGTACAAGGACAACGTTGATAAGTCACTTCATAGGGCAAACTAATGTATGAAGCTAAGTACAGCTTCTAGGAATTAGAGAAAATTTATTATTTTAAGTGTAACATGATGCAATTTTCTCTCTAAATAGTATAGTGACTTTCTTACTGATTGTTCGAATCGCCTTTTGGGGACATAGCAGAAAATTGCTGGGAGTAAAAACAGTGTTTTAAAACTAAATTAGACAAGACTAGAGATTATGTTATTGCTAAAAGAAAACAATTCTACTCCATTGATGTAAGCTAACATTGCATGTGCACTTTCTTGAGTATTGTACTACGTCAAATGAGTGCATGGATCTAAAAACCAAAAATAACTTACTTAGCAACAAAAAGTACTTCTTATGACATACTTTCTCAAAGAAACTATAATGTATTTTCTGGGTGAAATCTAGAGTTAGTTTGGATGGACATGATTTTGAAATTAAATTCTTAATTTTTGATTGAAAACTTAACTGGTTTTAGATTTCATTTTGATCTGTAAAGTTTTAGAAAACATCATCTTTTCTATGCTAATTATTAATCAGTAATAAAATGAAAGTGTTTGATTACGTTATTTCCACAGTCTATACCTATGCAAATGTTCAAAGAAACAATCAGAAATTATGGTCCTTAAGTTCTAGGATTATAACTATAAAAATAAGACTCATTTATAAAAATTGTATTTTTAAGTTAGATTTTTGGAAAAATATATGTGAAGAAAATAATTTTCCAATACATTAATAACACGAAAGAACTTATTATGGTCAAGTACTTTCATCAAACTATTGTTGCATTTATGTCTCTAAGGCGCAAGAGAGTTCTGCTTCTAGGCCTGGCAACCGGAATCGTAGACATCGTGTGAAATTTTCCTCAAGGTACGTATTTCTGTTTGCAAATTACTTGTGAGTAACTGTGAAATCAAAAACAAAATTTTGAAATTAATTTCCACACGTGAAGTCAAAACTAAATTATCAACTCACATCATGACAGTTTGCCAAAATTGGCTTACATTTAAAAGCTCCCAGCAGTGCTCCATTAACAGCATCTTCCAGTAACAGCTTCCATAGTCTAGTCCATGTGATTCAGTTCAATAATTACCTAACAAGTTTGAAAATACACAATAATTTATTTGATACGATTCATTTGGCCGTAGGATTTAATAAATGTCAGGTCAGTTTTATTACATGTGCAACATAATAAAACAAATTATTCATAAGTGCAGAAACTAATAGAAAATAGGAATAGGAAAGCCTGAAAGTGTTCTGTGGTCAAAATTAAATATATGAATCATTGTCAGATAAATAAAATGACATATACATCATAGAAACTATTGATTGTAGTTTTCATCTTTGTAGTATTTCTGGTTTCAGTAATTTTCAAAGATTATGTTCCATAAGTCAGTTGTTCTCTGCTTTGCATTATACATGAAAGCCAATATTTATTTATTTATCTATTTATTCATTTATTTAAAATTTCCACCTCCTCCCCTCCTACCATTTCCCTCCTCCTCCCCCCAACCCCCTTCTCTCTCCTTCTCGAGTCTAAAGAGCAGTCAGGGTTCCTTACCCTGTGGGAAGTCCAAGGTCCTCCCCCCTCCATCCAGGTCTAGGAAGGTGAGCATCCAAACAGACTAGGCTCCAACAAAGCCAGTACATGCAGTAGAATCAGAACCCAGTGCCATTGTCCTTGGCTTCTCCGTCAGCCCTCATTGTCAGCCACATTCAGAGAGTCCGGTTTGATCACATGCTCCATCACTCCCAGTCCAACTGGCCTTGGTGAGCTCCCATTAGATCCCCACCATCTCAGTGGGTGAAAGCACCCCTCGCGGTCCTGACTTCCTTGCTCATGGTCTCCCTCCTTCTGCTCCTCATTTGGACCTTGAGAGCTCAGTCCAGTGCTCCAATGTGGGTCTCTGCATGGACCAAACTCACAATGAAGAGGCCATTGCCTATTTTCATTCATTCAGACATTCAGCAAATATTTATTAATCATTCTTTATATTAAAGCTATTAGACAGGACCGGCAAGGTAGTTTGGTGGGTAAAAGCACATTGTATCAAGCCTGTTGGCCCAAGTTCAGCTCTCACAATCCACACAAAGAAGAGAACCAACTTCCACAAGTTGTCCCTGTGACTTCCACATAGGTGACATGACATCTTTGTACTTCTAGGTGCATGTAGACACACACACACACACACACACACACACACACACACACTAATAAAAGTGTGTCATAATCAGTGTTCCAAACAATTTTTCCTCTAAGTAAATTAATTTGGATTTTACTAAGTATATACTCACCATGTAATATAGTAAAACTTTGAAGAAAAAAATACAAATAAAATTAAAGATACTGCACAGTACAGACAGATGGTAGAGAGTTCATGTATGATAAGCATAGCCATACACCATTATTTTTTAATCTTGTGACTTTATGTCTTCACAAGAAACCTGAGGGAGAAACTTGTAAAAGTTAACAGTCAGATTGAGAGCACTTTTTCTCTCCAATCAATGCCTGAGTTACCATGCTTCTAACCTCAAAGAGAAGAAATGAAGTTAGTTTTGAATAAATTGTTAGTGCCCTTGGATATGATTTTAATACAATTCAGTATATAAAATTTAAACTTGATGTTAACTTGAGGTGATTGGTAACTTCTAATTAAATAGATTTTCAATTTATTAATAACAAATGCATTTCCTGAAAGTATATTTAAATTTGTAAAATGCATAAACTATAATGAACTCACAAACAAAAATAAATTCATAAAACTACTGTAAATGAACCTTGAATTTTTCCTGAAATGATGGGCCATACTAATGTCTTTGTCTGTTATAAACTTAAATTAACAAAAGAAATCCTTCCTAGACAGAAAACTGAGAGCAAATAAAAGTATCTACACTGGCATTTAAATTTTAATGGTAAACATGGATGTGCTTATGTATCCAAAGTGTTATCTATTGAAACCATGAACAATATACTTAAAACATGAATTATGGACAAATAAAACATGATAACAGTGGAATATTTATAATAATAAACTCTTTGTATTTGCCATGTGAAAAGTCTATTATGCAGTGGAAGGTTTTGTTTGCTGATGTTATCTGGATAATTTTATCTGAATATTACTCTGAACACTTATAGAATATATGTGAAGGAAATGCATGCTATATTGAAAAGTACTTTTATTTCTACACATGAAAACTTTCTCGATCATAGATAAAATAGGTTTAGGAAATTAAAATTGGAAAATAATATCCGTGCTCTACTTTTTTTCAGTGTGATGTATAATTTTAAGAAAATTCTTTTTTGGCTTTTTGAGACATGGTTTCTCTGTAGCTGTGGGGCCTGTTCTGGACCTAACTCTTGTAGACCAGTCTGGTCTTCTGTGTTGAGTTGCATATACTCTTTAGCATTTTAGAATGTGGCACATGTCTTCCTGTCTCTCTGTTAATTTAGCTTGGTTTTCTTTCACAAATGTTTTAAGAGATGAAGGTAAACCCAATATGCTTATCATGATTATAAACGTATCTTCATTAAAGTCTTTGTCTATTTATCATTCTAGTGTCTCTGAGCAGCCTCTTTTCGAAGAAGTTCAGCAGCCCATGGACATCAGACAGAGGAGTTCCCTAAATCCTCAGAATTTCCAAGCAGCATCAGGTGATTCGAAACTCAAAGTTAGAACAGTCAAATACATAGACCAAATATATAACAGCATATATTTCAGACCTAAAGAAGAACTTCCAGAAAGAATGAATGAAAAATGTTATGAAGGCCAAGCAGTATTTAAGAAAAGCAGTTGATTTGATTTGGTATTTGAATGATTAGTGGTGACCTCTGAGAAATGGAAAGTGATAATTTCATTTAGATCTTATATAACATGAGACCATATATTAAAGAACTTGAGGACTATTCTCCATCTACTCAACATCTACTAGGCTGCATTTACAATATGAGCAGAAAAATTGTGAGAATAATTTTTATTTGTCATTTTATCTCACCTCTTCAAAATATGATATGCACAGTATCACATAAATATTTCTTAAATACAGCAAACGGATGGCTTTATTTAAAATACACAAAATTAATTGATCAAATAATAACAGGAGTGCTTATCAAAATTTGGTATCAATTTCAATCAAGTATTTACTAGTGATGTGCATTTAATGGACTTTAAATTTATTATACATTTTTAGACATTATGAAAAATCAAAAAATTGTCATAAACTTAGACATTAGGTCATAAAATCTGGCATTTTCCAGTTTTAAGCATGCAAGATATCTTCAATTAAAGGACATTTCCTGACCAAGCCCTCACATTATTTATAAAAATGTAGAATTCAGATCTTTGATAATGTTTATATCATAAAGGATATAGAAAATCAAACATTCCAATTTCTGAATTTTAAAGCCCTTAGGAGACCTTAGGAGAGTACTATGATGAAAGAATTCTTTTCATACTGCAACCTCACATAAAAATGATATTCTGAAAAGATAAGGCAAAATATTAGGAATGTTTTCCCTACAATATTTTCCTTCTTGTTTGGTTACATATAAATTTGCTAATACATGGCAAACACATGAGTTTTAGAGTTCACTCACTTGCCTTTCTGAAATAAATTAATCCATAAACATTGATAGGAGAAGGAAGAAGTACTGTCTCTGCTAATAAGCGCTAACCCTGTCAGGGCTGAGCCTCTGTTATGTGGATGCCACAGAGCATCTGGCATTGCCAGCAGACTAGGAAATCTATAGATGTGCAGAGAAGTCGTCAGCCACTGAGCCTGTACAGTTGCCCTCCTTCCACTTGAAAAGACTTGAAAGAATTACTTCCTAAAAACAATAAGTAGCAAGGTTCTAGCACTAGAAGACAAGAATGCACATTCTGGGATATGGAATATAACATTTTCAAAAGACAGCAGCACAGCAAATGCAGGGTTTTTAATTGTAATGTCTAGACTTAGACTATCTATAGTTAGTGTGCAGACAAAAGGAGGTCAGTAGTAGTATACTTAATACCCCTAGAAATAAGCATGCAGCTAGTGTTCCACTAGGACACCTTTTATAATAAATATGTTCATTTATACTCTACTGATTTCTAGGCCTATTATGTATTCTCACGGAATTTTTCATGTAACTTATTATATATCACATCACAGTTTTCAAAGCCTATACTGATGTACTGAAAGAATTTGTATTTTAAATAGAAATATTATCATAATGGAATTGTGCTGTCCAATGTGTCAGTAAACAGCCACACCACATGTGATTATTAAAATGAAAACTAAAACAAAAATTAAGTAAACATTTACACAGCCTAATTCTTAGGTGCATTGGCCACATTTTAAATGCTCTGAAGCTACCCTGGTGGTCCAGTGGTTAATACTCAGTACTCCCAAATGTTCATTTCCAAACAGACATAGAATATTTCCATCACTGCAGAAAGTTGTCTCACAAATTACTCTAAAGTTTCCAACTCTATGATACATAGCTAAGTTTTATAAATTTTCATTAGCTCAATCTTCATCTTTATTGAAATATTTGGTTATTCATAACTTGGTTGAAACTGGGGAGGCGGATAGATTTCTCAAGTGTGCGCTAAATATTGAAGACAAAAATGCCTTGTAGGTCTGCAGCATGAACGAAACTTGAGCCTGCTAGTACTCTTGAAAGTGGAACTCGGGAGCACTACCACAATAGGGTTTTTTTTTAATGTAACAGAGTTTGTTTTATAAATTAAGAATTATGTCTGAACTCAGAACCAGAAAACACTGAAAATTACACCACTGGCAGATACTAACCAAATAACAGAGAAGTAAAATACAGAAATTGCTTACTTCTTAGAGTGACGTACTTGCTGTTTTTGACATGGTATGATCTATTCAGTCTATGATTGACTTAGGCTTGTTTGTTTGTTTATTACTGCCACAATAGATTTTAATATTAACTGATAATTTCACAATAGAATGACAAAGACTGAAAGAAAAACAATAAGGTGTTGAACTGATCCACTACACAAACCGAACCAGTTGTGAAATCACTGTTGTTATTAATGTAATTTTTGGCATTCCATAGAGTCATCTTCTGAGGAGGAGAGTCCTGTGACTAGGAGGAAGTCCCAGTCATCGCCACCTTATTCTACTATTGATCAGAAGTTACTGATTGATATCCATGTAGGTTTATCTCATGATGCATTTATATCTACTTTTAAGATCATTTTGGTTTGGCCTATTCTTTCTGACCTTTAAAGATGGAGGGTAAGAATGGACAGATGGTTCAGCACTTGTTCCTGTTCCAGAAGACGAGGGTCTGTTTTTCACAATGACTATGGTGACTCATAATCATCTACAATTCCAGCCCCAGATTTAACATCTTATTCTGGCCTTTGCATACGCCAGGCACACACAATGCACACAAATAATGCATACTGGAAACCATTTATACACATAAAATATTTTTGAATGGAGATGTAAAAGAGCTTAAATGTGTCTTATTAGTCTTTATTTAAAAATATTACACTGTTGGGCAAGTATTCCAAATAGAAAATTCTGAATTTAAAATTGAAATGGGAAAAAGTACTTATCTGATCAAATAATATTGTATTTTTACATTTTTGTCAGGGTATGTAGAAGAATTGTGCTAAGGATTTAATCTAATGGTAGAACGCTTGCCTAGCATACTCAAATTTCTAGGTTCAATCCCAGTACCACACAAATTACAAATAGAATATATAGGAAAGAATACTGACAAATAGATATTTCTAGAAATTAAGCTACGACCAAGAGGCATAAATTACGTTTTGACTGTTGTTTAATATTGTTCCACAGATAACGAGAGAAAATATTAATGAAAAATAGTGTCTTCTGATTGTATAAATAAAAGATCACCCTAAACTTTTATAATTTGTTTTCAGATCATATTATTTTATGTTCTCAATACCCATACTTTTTTGTATACATGTTTATGTCTAACATAAGAATTACATTTCTATTCATTTGCTTTTTGGATGCATTTGAAATAATTTAAGATAATATATGGCATATATGAACAAACCTGGAAAAATAACGTATCTATTTCAAGAGTGATAATTTAATCTCAGTGTTAGGATAAAACAAAAGGAAAAACTAGACTCTGTAGAGAGCGTACTATCTGGCATCAAACGCAAATGTCTACTCCTCAGCAGGCAAGTAGGGTTAATAAAAGAGTGAGTAAATTTGCTATTTGCTGTGTGATCTACAAAGTCCACAACTAATTACTAATGTTTGGATTTGGGCAACTCATCTTCACTAAAATATTTGCTCTCTGTATTGGCTGGGCATCTTTGTTTCAGTAAGAAATGTGATTTTAACATATTTTGAAATGTTGTCATTTTGGAAACTTCCAATTGCTAAAGAAAATAAGAAGCTATTAGAGACTACCTTAACCTTTCTTGTGCACACAGGTTCCAGATGGATTTAAAGTGGGAAAAATATCACCCCCTGTATACTTGACAAATGAATGGGTAGGCTATAATGCACTCTCTGAAATCTTCTGGGATGATTGGTTAATTCCTGCACCTGTCGTTCAGCCACCTGAAGAAGATGGTGATTATGTTGAACTCTATGATGCTGGTGCTAATACTGATGGTGATGAGGAAGCTTCTAACGATGCTTATGAAGATAACTATGACCATGTCAATGGCCATGATGACTTGAATAACCAGGTTGATCAGGCAAATGTCTGTGAAGTCCGTGGTGATGGTGACTACGATGATGAGTCTCTTCGTGGCATAGATGATAATCTGGGTGCTGTTACTAATGGGCCAAGGTTGGTTTGTCTGTTATTATGCTAGATGCTTATGAGTTCAGAACTATTGACATATTTGGTTTATTTTTAAATGTAACATAACATTAAGAGAATTAATGAATTGTACTTTCATATTGATATATGCTCAGTATTGTGATTTAAATTTTTCTAACGTAGAAAATATAATTCTGAATTATGTATATATAATTTAAATTCATTTATTTATTAGTTTCTTGATAACTGGGATTGTCTGAGTGTTTCTCTTCAAGTCAGTGCCACTGAATCTTCTTTTTGCTTTAAAATCACAATGAGAAATGAGGTGAAAGATGAAGGATTCTAGTACTGTTTGAAAGAATGGCTAAGCATTTCCCAGAGAGTAGAGATGATTTTGTCGTGTATAAGATCAACTTGATATGATCTTTATTAGTTTAATTGGTGCAGAAGTTACCAAAAGATCTTTTGAATTTTTCTCCCAAATAGAAAAACGATAAAGAATTCCATTTTTATACAGGTTTTAATTTATAATTTTCATAAGGATATATATAGGTTTAATATTGTCTCCATGTAAAATGAAGGATTGGGCATTTTTAGAACTTAACATTTACAAACCCTGATTATGTGATTATCTTAGTCATCCTCTAATATATGAAGCCTATATCAGTTGAACACTCTGGTGAGAGTATTGACCAAAGGTCTATAGCAGAGCTGTTTGTATACATGTAAATAAATGAAAATATATGTTAAACGTAACAGAATCCTGAAAAATATTATAATATCACTATGGATTTTATCATTAACATGACTGAAATTTATTCATAAATTATTCAGTTATTTAAGAAAAATGAGTATTTTCTGCACTAAGCAGTCATGTCTAACACATGATAACAAGGAGTTAAGAGTGGCTATCATGTTAATTCAGTATTTAATACTGGAAAAGCATTGAGGAAATTTTCTCATGTTTATAAAACAAAAACATTAATAAAAAGCAAAAACATTCCTGACCATAACCTATATGGGTGTGTGTATATGTAAAATATGATTTATGGCTTTGATTTGTGATTTATTGAATGGTCTTCTTTCACGAATTTGTTCTTGCTAACAGGGCAAGCTATCGCAGAGAAGGAATACTCAAGCATGGTGGCAGAGGTGGAAGTAAAGGACAGTGGAGGGCTTCCGGAGCCTGTGGAAACGATGCTGCTGAAGCCAGTGCAGCCTTTAGAAGCCATGATGGACATGGAGCCAATAGAGGTGCCAGATACAGAGGAGTCAATAGAAACAGGGAAGAGAATGGAGCATATGGATTCTATGCAGAAGAATCTCACTTACAGGAAGATGGTGCAGGACTGGATCAACATATATTTCAGGAGTTTGAACGTGAGCAGGAGGTAATGAAGCATTTGAATGTATATCAGCACATGACATGTAACATTAGCTATTCACAATGATTATATTTTTGTATTCCAAATCCTGAAATAACTTAAATACATAATTAAATTATAAGTGCATGGGATCTTCACTACATACAATTTGATGGTTCTTATATACTTCAGGGACAAAATCCCTGATTTATTTGGTCATTTTAAGTTATACATTTGGAGAAGTATTTCAAGGTACTAGTCATACTATCTATAGCTGTAGAAAACACATACTAAAATTTTCTAAGTAAAGCATTCATATAGCTAGCATTTTAGACATACACAATATTGTGAAACCATTAGCATTTTGTCTTTATTTGTATTTTTATAGCACATAAAGTGATGGATTTCATTACAGAATTTTCACACATACTTTATTTTTCTTGGTCCTCCACTTCATTTCCTTTCCCCCTCAACTATACTTTTTCCTTCCTTTCAAGTCTTAAGTCACATGGATTCTGTTGATCCATTTTTCTCATTACTCTTCCTTAAAATCTTTCTCCCTTTTCTTGATAATCTCTTATACTTCTATACTTTACACATACACATACACACACATTAAAACCTAGGATCTGTGTGTCTGTCATAAAGAAATGGAAGTATGTTTATCTGAGTAGAATTATATCCCTTACTATAATAATTTCTATACCCATCCATTATTTTGAAATTTTCATGATTTCATTTTTCTTTGTGGCTGAATAAAATTCCACTGTGTATATGTACATATCATAATTTTGTTTCACAATTAATCTGTTAGACATCTAGGCTGGTAGATTTTAATCGTCACAAATAATTAACTCCTAATTCTCCACCTATCCTTCAATATTCAATAACCTCAGTAGAGAGTTGAAAATTCTTCCACATATTGAATATAGAATTGTCATGCTCAGAGGCTTTTATCCTTGTGTGTCTACTCCATTAATGGAAGTGTGAAAGACTTATAGTGAAATATGTTTACTTAAGGATTGTTATAAGTTTTTTGTTGTTTCGTTTTCTGTCTTTTGTTTGGTCATTTGAACCACACCCCCATGGTTCTTCTTACTGTCTGTTCTCTTAGCCATTTCTCTTGTTTTGTTCTGTTCCTGGTTTTTTGTTTTGCATTATTTTATTTTACTTTTGTTTGTTTGCATATCTGTTTTTTACAATTTTAGGACCAGGGTCTAGCTCTGTAGGCCCGTGCTAGCCTAGAACTTGTTATGTAGCCTAGGCTGGCCTAAGACTCATGGCAACAGTTTTGCATGTGCCAGGAATATATGTATGTACCACCAGAACCGGCGCTGTAGATATCTTAAACTAAGGGATGAGATACCCTCAGGATGTGCTTCTTTTCGAAGTAGTTTTTTGGCATATGTATATGGGGTTTAGATATTCCTTTCAAACCTTAGATCCCCTGTTTAGCAGTTCCCCAATCCTCTATCTCCTTACAGGAGTCAGATGGTGGAACTGAGACCTCAGATTCAATTGCCTTGGATATCAGATCCCTTGCACTTGATGGTGAGAATCCCAGTGACACAGCAGGGTCATCAGCAACACTGGGTTTTCCTGTCATCCACTCATCTTCCGGAGGGTCTGCTTCTGCTTCTGATACGGACACTGCGAGCGCCAACTGTGAGTATTTCTTTCCATGCTGCATGCTTCCACTTCCTCGAGTAATTCATGGTGTGTGATAAATCAAAGAAGTTGAATATTCATATGGTATAAAATGAGGTTGATAATGCTGGCAAGATGAGTTGGAAGGTAAAAATATTTGCTACCAAGCCTAACGAGTTAAGTTTAATTCCCTAGACCCACTTGGTAGAAGGAGAGAACCAACCACAACATGTGTGCCTAAATAAGTAAATAATATATAAGATTTTCTTCTTAATTCCTCCTCAGTAAAATCTTTTCTTTTTCCTTAGATTTTGGGGAGTCTCGTGTAACCGGGACGGCACTGAGCTCACTCTCTAACTGCTGCTGGCACTGACTTCCTCATCTTCCTGGGACCCCAGACACTTGCTCTCACACCTAGCTCTCACTCAATCTTTATGATGATTACAATTGAGAAACTGAGTCCTTCATTCAATTATTGCTTTTACACTATAATCAAAGCTACAAATCACATCCATACTCGGCAATTTATTTTAATCAGTATGATTTGTATTTTCTAATGAGTTAAAAATTTACTAAATCTTACATAGAAGATGAAATATAATAAGGAAACCAAACTTTGAGGGTCATCTCCATTATGAAAATACTTGGCACATTTAGTATATAGATCAGTGATTTGTCTCAATGCCTTTCCCTTTGCAGTACATGCTGGGTTTGTTGGGGCCCCTGAAAACTCCCCTCACCTACCATCTGAAGTAAATATTAACCCACTCTTTGTCTTCCCAGCATATAACAAACCACTAATCCATGTGTACGAAAAGGAGTTTACGTCTGAGATCTGCTGTGGTTCTTTGTGGGGTGAGTTTGAGTTCTTGAAACTGAGTTTTGTTTTTGCTCTGTTTTAAATCCATGTTCATGTCAAAAACTTGGAAAGGTTGTAGAAGTAAAGCATTTTACCATTGCCAATCAATTAAAATGAATTCATAGGTTCAGGGCTGATTTGGCCTGTTAAATTAATGTCTTGCCCCTTTTATGCTTTTTAACTTGAGTTAACTAGAGCAAAATACAAAATTAAACTTCACTATAATTATTTGAAAATTTGAGTTTAATATTTTCTAAGTTTGTATATACTTATTACAAGAAAGGTTTCTTTAGGATCTTTCAATTTTTAAGTGCAGAGAATGTATACGCTTTCTCTATAAATGTTAAATTTGACAGACTTTTTCAACTCTTTGTTTGAGAATATTAATGATTTATTCTGGAAATGTATGTGACAAATAATAAAATAGTGCTGTGTATATAAAATATTCTGTATGTCTGATGGCACAGTAGACAGCAGACAATAGAATATTGCTAGTATGTATGGACAGCTATCTATTCATTTTAATGAAACATACTCTGTGGGGAGTGTACATAGTTCAATAGTATGATGTTAACAAGGCTAATATAACAAGCCTGAAATGATAAAAGTCATGTTTGTGTGGATTAGCAAACTGCAATAAAAAGGAAAAGTAATTATACATACATATTTACTTAAAAATCTATAGGTAAAGGTTAAAAAGTGTGGAATACACACATATGTAATAGAGTATTATTCAGTTGTGAAAAATATTAGAGCCATGTTTGTAGAAAAGTAGGTTATAAGAAATAAACCACATGTATTAAAACATCACATTTCCCCTTATTTGTAAAATCTAGTTTTATTTTTCTTAAGGTACTAAAAGTTGAATGAGACAGGGAAATGGAATAGGATGCAGAAGGAGTAAGAAGGAAATATAAGGGAGGGTGATGTGGGTGATTTTGATTAAGTTATGTGATAGATAAGCAGAAAAACATCATAGTGAAAACCCTTTCTGTAGAATTAATACACACTAATAAAAATAATCAGCTAATACAGCACTTTTCTGTGTCTGAACAGGAGTCAATTTGTTGCTGGGCACCCGCTCTAATCTGTACCTGATGGACAGAAGTGGAAAGGCAGACATCATTAAACTTATAAAGCGTAGACCATTCCGCCAGATCCAAGTCGTGGAGTCACTCAATTTGCTGATTACCATCTCTGGTTTGTTTAAGTCCTAAAATTAACTGAGTAATTATGCAGAGTAATTGAACTGCAAACTAGGTTAAAGGCTTTCTTAGGTGAAGTGTTCATAGGAAACCACTTTAAATATAACCTTTAATTGGGACAGCAAAATCTCCTACTTACGTTTTCTTATCCATTCACACTTTAAACAAAATCCCTTTGATGTTGATGCACTTAACCTTGGTTGGAGATCAAGAAAACTACATTTGCATCCGTGAGTAATCTCACGTAGAAGGGACTACACTAATAGCCACCATCTAGCTTTTGATGTGTCCAAAACACAAATGGATGAGTAATTGGGTAGAAGATAGAATTGTCCCTGTCTCCACCTAATATTACAAGGGCAACCAGACAGGATTATCTACACCTTTCCCAAACAAGAGTTGATTTTCATAATCAGAGCCTGACTCTGAAAAAGCAAGTAAATTGGTGTTAAATTAATTGTAACTACTAAATGAATTTAAAAAAATAAAAGGAGGACAAGACTGCTCCTGGGTATGGTCGAGGAGAAGCTTTATTGTAGATGGAAGGGAGAACATAGCCAGAGGCATCTGGGAGAGTCCAGAGCGGACATGAGCAACAGACTGAACAAGAATATGAGGAGAGAGGGGAGGGAAAAGAGGGGAGCCTGGAGTGGCAGCCAAGAGTTCAAAAGACAAAAGAATAAAAGGACTAGTGTAGCCAAAATGGCTGGGTTATACATGGAAGAGAATATACAATATAAGAGAACATATACATGGGAAAAGGACAGCCCAGCCCCTGAGCTGGAAGCTTCTGGGTGGGGGACAGGATATTCCAGCCAGGAGGTTCCTGTAACCCATAGGGACTCAGGGATGCTGGAAGAACCTGGCAGCCAGTGTCTGCTTTGATATGTTAATAACTATCTTAGTTAAACCCTTTGTCCTGAGTTTGAGAGCTAACAGTAAACAGAAATTACTATCAGAAAATCAAAAGACAACTAATGAATCAATGGAAATGGTTAACATAAGATTAAACCACGAAATAAAACAATACCAATCACTGATATTTACATGAATTTTTGTACTTTATAACATATAAGATATTGTGGAATATATATTAGCAAATTGTCATGTGATTGGATGAGATTCATTTTGCTTCAAGGTTTGATTAAAGGCAAAACCCTTTAGAGATAAACTCAGCCATCACAATATTTTAATCATATTTCATGACCAATCATTTGCAATGATTTCGGATACACAGAAGCAATATTTAGTTTTGAAAACATCTGGGTAGCTTAAAGATTATACACATCTGGATGAGAGATTTTTTTTCATCTGATTTTCTCAAACCCAGACATACCTCTTTAGATTCCTTAAACTTAACCCAATTGTAATTGGGTTTACCCAAACGTTTGCTACTAGATTTTAAAACTACGCCTTGTGCATGGTAAGCAAGCTTCCCTCAGCCTACAAATTATTTTGTGTCAAATACTATAAAAAATCATCGTCAGATGAGGATCCCCAAAAGTCTACCCTGAAAGAAGTTACAAGGATGCAATGTGAAGTTATTCTACCAATTGAGTATAAAATGTCCACAAGTGTGATTTTCTGAACCCTAACATTTATTTAAAATTTCCCTCTAAAAACACAGTAAAATTAATCACTTTAAAATTTTGATGATAGGTTGAGCATAGAGGCACACACTTTTAATCTCAGCACTCAGGAGGTAGAAGAAAGTGGATCTCCAAGTTTGAAGTCAGCCTGTTCTCAAGATTCTTATTATTGGGACTTTTATGACAATATTAAAAATAACTAAAAAGCCAGGCAGTGGTGGCACATGCCTTTAATCCCAGCACTTGGGAGGCAGAGGAAGTAGATTTCTGTGAGTCTGAGGCTAGCTCTTTCTACAGAGTGAGTTCCCAAACAGCCAGGGCTGTTACTGGAGGAGGGGAGGGGAGGGAGAGAGAGAGAGAATAAATAAATAAGACTTCAAAAAAGAATAAAGTCATATAAATTCTTTAGTGTTTAAATAAATTTTAAGAATTCGATAGGATTAGTAATGAGGGAATTACAATGAAAGACTATCTCAAAAATTGTCTCAACAGGTTATATTTATGTATTTAGAAATATCCGTGTGTGCGTGTGTGCGTGTGTGTGTGTGTGTGTGTGTGTGTGTGTGTGTGTAGCAATTAAGAGAGGCCATAGATTTTAAAGAGAGAAAGGGACAGCTTGGAAGGAGGAAATGATGTAACTATATTATAATCTCAAAAACTAAAAGAAATAATTCAAATATTGTCTCAAAGAGGCTGAGTTTAGACTGGTGGTTGCCAGTGGCTGGACTAAATGGAAAGACGGAAAGAAGGCGATAGAAAGCAATAGGTACATGTTATGTAAAATTTAAATAAGAGTACCACATTTTGTTGTTCTATGGTAAAACAGGTGAATGTAAGAAAAATAACAGATTATGTATCTCAAAATAGAGAAAAGGAAAGTGAATGTAGTAACCATAAATACATTTTTAAAATTAAAGTAATGGATATGCTTATTTCCCTGGTGTCTACATGAACACCACATTATACATCATAAATATATAAAAATAAGCCTTAAAAGACAAATAAAAATTTTTAAGATAAAAGTATTGAAGAAACAAATAATAAATGTGTCTGATTCATTTATAAACATGCTAGCTTGATAGAACTCAAGAAGATCCATATCCTGGCTCCAAATGCCCAAACAGTCAACATTCAGACATCTCATCCATACATATGGGGACAACCTCTAGGCCTGGAAACTGCTGGGGAGCTATGACTTAGGAAAGTCCAAACGAATAGATAGTCGTTGGGTTGGCAGCTTAGAGACAATCTTACCCTATGATAGTGGAGTATTTTAGATCCACTTCAGATAGGCACAGAGGCAGACAGTAGAACCCAACTGTATTTTGGAATTGAGACAGAAGATGCTAGGATCATGTTAGTTTTTAAAAGCGACTTTTAGTTTAATGAACAATTGGTTTAAACAGGAGCACATCCTGCTTCTTTGTATAGGTGGGGGGCGGGGAGAGAGAGAGAGAGAGAGAGAGAGAGAGAGAGAGAGAGAGAGAGAGAGAGAGAGAGAGAGAGAATTGAAATGCCATCATGTTTTCTTACCAGGTCGCAAGAACAGACTTCGCGTGTATCATTTGACTTGGCTGAGGAACAAGATTCTGAATAATGATCCGGAAAGTAAGAGAAGACAAAAGGAAATGCTGAAGACAGAGGAAGCTTGTAAATCTATTGATAAGTTGACTGGCTGTGAACACTTCAGTGTCCGTACGTCCATTTCACATTTAATATTGTTATATAGTTTATGCTTCCATTCATGTGGAGAGGCCCATAATTGCAAGAGACAAGGCAAGGAAAGGAAGGGATTTGCAATTTTGAATGAAAACATGAGCGATTGTCATTGAGGCAGCTCCTAGGCCTCCTCTATGTAATCATACCTACTGGCAAAAATCACTCTTGGAGTTAAATTTGGTTTACTTCTTTCTTCCTTTTCAGTCACTCTTAATATTTGAAAGTAATATTTTCCTTACTGTAACTACGTTTGATGTATCTTTAGCAACTTACAGAGATGTCTATGATATTTTCTTCCCTTTTAATGGAAATAAAACATGATCCTGTTTAATACTGACCAGGAAACTTCATAGTGGTGTAGGAGGTTCTGAAAGAGTGTTTCTGTGATCCACAGACTGTTGCTCCTAATACTTTATGTTTTATTATAGAACATTTCCATGTCCTGTGTCTCCTCATAGAGTAAATTCCATAAAATAGAGTAAGAAACTCTTTTGTCCACAGAATATTGTTCTGAGCTTTCGACGACTATGAAGTAATGTTAGCCCAGTCTATTCCATTTCTGAAGCAAATCTCCTCTGTTCTCAGTTTCCTTTTACTCTGAAGCCATTGACCCTCAGAGGAGAATTGGTTATGTAGGTGAAGGATTGCTGAAATCACCTTTTACAAATTGCAAGAGAATATTTATATCGTAACTGACTCTTTGCTTGCACATGTGTGCACATATAAACATACAGCTTTAAATGAAGGGATTTGTGTCTAGAAAACTAAAGGTCAAGATAAACCCTTTCTTCTAGCTTTAGATGCCACACTGCCCTGCAGTCATATAACTATGATAGCCCCAAAGGTGAAAGACATTCCAAGATGTTAATTCAGCAGTTTATATTGAACAACTTCCTCTTATTAAGTTGGCAATTTTTTATCACAATGATAGATCTTTACGAGGGTAATCATCTTTGAAATCTGCTTTAGGTGAATGGACAAGTGAAGTCCTTTTTTCTAGCTGAGCCCGTTCCAATCAATGATACTTCTATCCAGGACAACCAAAAATCATTTCTTCCATTAACACGTAAAATGGTAGGAGAGGTAAAGTTAAAAAAGAGGAAGAAAATATGATAAAGAGACAGCATATTGGAGAGAATCAGAACAGAAGCAGTATTCTAGCCAAACAAGATGGATGTTACATAAATGACCATGTGCTTTCTATAACTTTTACTTTCTCTATCAATAGTGATATTGAAATTATTTACGTACTATGAAATGTAGTTTTTAAAAATGGACAACTCAGTAGCCATTACTATGATCTTATTTACATAAAAGTTCAGATTTTAGTCCCCAACGAGACCAGTATTCCATGAATTCCATGACAGGAATTCAGTATTTCCTGTCTTTTCCCCTTTCCCACTTTATTTTGGTTTTTCAAGACAAGTTTGCTCTGTGTAGCCTTGGCTGTCCTGGAACTTGCTCTGTGTGTCACCATTGCCCAGCCCCTTACCCATGTTTTGTCAAGTACTAGAGAAACATTGATTTTCTTTCCTTCTTTATGTATTTGCCTTATCTCAGAAGCTAATATAAATATATCCACGTATTATATGGTCTTCACTAACAGTATTCTTTCACTTTGTGTAATGCTCCCAAGGTTCACTTGTGTTGTGTCATAATACAACACGTGTCAATATTTCATTTTTCAAACTCCAGAATATTATTATATAGACATCACTTGTATTTATTAACATATCAGTTAGCAGATTTTTGTATGCTTGTTACTTTCAGGCTTATGGCAATAATTCTGCTATGGGTGTCTATGTGCACCTTTCTTTTTTTTTCTCTTGGATAGTACTCCTAAACCGTTTTCAAACTAGATACAGAATTTCCCATCACCACCACTAATATATAAGGATTGCATTTTCTCCGTATCCATTTGAATGTTTATATGTGTTTGTTTCTCCTTATAGTATTAGTCATCCTAAAGCAGAGTTAAAGTAGTTCCTCATAACTCAGTGCACATTTTGTTGGTTAGAAATGCCCTTCCATACTTTTCAATGTATTTATTGACCATTTGTATATTTTTCTTAAAGTAAGTACTTTGCCTAATGTTTTTGCTCTGATGCTGAATAGAGTTGTAGAAATTTTTATACATTCTATATACTACTAATTTTTTTCTGAGACAGAGTTTCTCTGTAACTTTGGGGCTTGTCCTGGAACTAACTCTTGTAGACCAGACTGGTCACGAACTCACAGAGATCTGCCTGCCTGTGCCTCCCAAGTGCTGGGATTAAAAGTGTGCACCACCACTGCCCAGTTTTTATTAGACACTTACCTAGTAATTTGCAAATATTTTTCTTTAGTACCTGGGTGATATATCTTCTTTCATTTCTCCTTTCCCCCTTTTGTGGTACTGAGAACTTAAGGTTCCTTGTACACACCAGGCTTTAACTTAATGACAGATACATTTCCAGCCGTTGTTCTATTTCGAGACAGGACTCACTAAGTTGGACAGACTGGCCCTGTTCTTACAATCCTAAGTCTTTTGTAAGACTTCCAAATATGTGAGTGTACAGGTCTGCACCACCAGAGCCAATTTCACTTTCTTATACCCCAGGATGCACAAAAGTTTTTAATTTGGATGAAGCTTGTTATTTTTCTTCCATAATTTATATACAATTTTTGTCAACTGTAAGAATACATTACCTTATAAAAAGTTATCAATATTTATCCCTGTTTGTTTACTCTTAGAGTTTTACAGCATAAACTCTGACATTTAGATCTTTGATCCATTTTGACTTAATTTGTGTGTATCCTGTGAGGCATTGTACCCTGCTCTATTCTTTTGCATATAGATTACCATGTGTCCTAGTACCATTTGTTTAAGGCACTGTTTTTTCTTTATTGAATGGTCTTGGAGCCATTGAACTTAGATATGCTGAGTTTATTTGCTGAATCTCAACTGTATTCACTTTGTCTGTGTTTGCATTGTTCTACAAATACTTGTTTTGTATGACTGTTTTGCCTACATATATGTAAACAGAGACTACTCGTTTATTTCCCAACTGCTCAGACAGGAATAATCACACAGAAACTGTATTAATTGCAACACTGCTTGGCCAATGGATTATGCGTATTTCTAGCTAGCTCTTAGATCTTAATGTAACCCGTTTTTATTATTCTGTGTATCACCACAAGGCTGTGGCTTACTGGGTAAAGTTCCGGTGTGTGTCTCCTTTGGAAGCTACATAACATCTCTTTGACTCCACCTACTCTCTCTCTCTCTCTCTCTCTCTCTCTCTCTCTCTCTATATATATATATATATATATATATATATATATATATATATATATATGTATACACATATACATATATATATATATATATATATTGTACATATTTAAAATCTGTTCAGATTTCCTGCCTGGCTTTACTCTGCTAAGCCATTGGCCAAAATAGCTTTATTCATCAACTAGTAAAAGGGACGCATATACAGAATAACACCCCACATTACATATATGTCTGTGTACTATGTGTGTCTGGTGCCTAAAATGGTCAGCAAAAATTCCATTAATCTGTACTTTAGATTCTAGAGTAACAGGCAGTTTTAAGATAGCCAAGCAGGGTGCCAGTCACTGAACTTGGGTCCTGTGCAAAAGCAGTGAGCTGTCTTAATCACTGGGCCATCTCACCAGGACCTTTACTTTTTTTTAAAATACAAGTTACATATGTAAGAAAAAGGTGTGCTATTTGTCTATATGACTATGGTTTGTTTAATTTATAATCTCTAGCTATATCTACTTCTGAAAACATTATAATCTCATTTTTCTTATGACTGAATGGTATTTCATTAAGTACTAATAGTACAGTTTGTAGAAAACTTTGACATGAGCAAATGGCTGTACTTTAACTTTGGGCTTTTGGGAAGACTTTTGTGAAGAGTCAGCATTTATGAGATTCTGTGTACCATTTAGGAATAGCCTCTTTATTTCTAGAGAACAAATTGGGATTTCAACACAGACTGCATTTAATCTGTAGAGATTATTTTAGATAATTACACTTTAAAAATCTACTTATTCATGAATGAGGGAAGTTATTTCAATTTCTTTTGATTTCTTGTAAAATCTTATTCTCTGCTAAGAATGAAACTCTGACCCTTGCACATACTACAAAAAACACTTTACCACTAATCTATACTCTCAGTCCTTGGATTTCTTAGATAGACTCTTGGTATGCAGCCTCAGGATGGCCTCACATTCAGAATCTTCCTTCCTGAGCCTTCTAGGTGCTAAGATAACAGCTATGTGCTACTCAACCTTACTAGATCATTATTTTATCTCTTATTTTGTTATAGTGTATAATAAGAATGAAATGCACTTAAATACAGATAAATACAATCCATGGAAATATGCAATGATATTAATATTGAATGACAAGAATACAATTCCAGCCAAGTAGCTATTCTAAAAACATGCAGTTTTAGTTCTTAACATTGTGGTCATTTCATTTGTGATAATAAATATAAACACCTGAATGTTCATGTTAATTCTGATGTATGACTTTTTGTATGTTGCCATTATAGTTCAACATGAGGAAACAACATATATTGCAGTTGCTTTGAAATCATCAATTCATCTTTATGCCTGGGCACCAAAATCCTTTGATGAAAGCACTGCTATTAAAGTGAGTAGCCATTTCATTTGCATAATACTGTTTTCTCTAAAGAAGAAATTATAAACAAAATAGTAGTTTGTAATGTAGATGTGGAAATACATACCATTCGGCTACAGTTATTGCAATTTGAATATAACATGTCAATAATTATCATTTAACCCCTTTTTAGAAAATCCACAGGCGCCACAGCAAGGGAGAGTTTGAGGGATGTCCCCAACCCCTCCCCTTACAGGACATCCCCACCAGCTCCTCACTCCCATTTCCTGTAGTCAACATGAAGATCTTCACTTCTAGAGGCCAAAACACAGGCTTCAGGTGCCACCTCAATAACTTGAAGCTGGGAAAGTCCCTGTTCTCTCTTAGTGGGGGGGAGTAGAGGGAGGGTAAGAAGAGATGTGGAGATACTGAGGAAGCCACATTGGAATGGGGGTGAGAAAAGCCTTGCTCTAGCTATCATTAAAATAGGTGGGTGGGGGAAGAAAGTGGGGTCTTTATTTCTTCTCTGGAGAACTGTTCTGGGACATAGCGGGTAGGCACAGTAGTGCGCTTCACATGTAAAGATTTCACTGACCTTTTATGCATCTGCTGTGGAAGCTAGCCATCTAATGGCCCAAATAATCTGCTGCTGAGTTTTTCCCTTTCCCATAAATTGAGTTCTATTTAAATAGGATACATTTTTACAAAAGGTAAGTAGCTATTTTATCTTGCTTATTATAGGCATTAGAATCACTGAAAGCATTTGTTAAATGTTTAGATCTCAGACCCAACTCCAGGCTGAATTAGTGGGTCTGCAGTGGGGCCTGAGAACCTGATTTTTAACAAATGTTCCCTGTGACCTACAGATTTCACAAAGCTCTTGTAGAAACACATCCTGATAGACTTCAAGGCATTCATGAAATACATTTGTATCTTATATGAGGTTCTATTTACATGGTCTCATTTTTAGGCCAAAATATCACATATAGATACACTGATCGAGGTAAAACACATGAATTTTCCTCAAGAACTCTTTGCACTGTTTGCACAATGTCCTCTTTATAGATAGAATGGCTATTATATAAACAATCAGTCTACCATGACAGACATAGCATCCCTGATCTGATCTGCCTAAACTGGGTCTTGGTTCAGCTGTCAACATTTGGATATGGATTAATTCTTGGGTGTCTGCTGGCTTGTCAGCGCTACCTGGTATGGAAGTGGAAAACAGAGAGATAAGTACCAACAATAAGTCTAGCCAGTTCCTGTCAACTTCTCATTTCCATTCCTGATGCTCACCTCATAACCACATTATTATGAATCCTGTGATGCTCAGTCTTTTGTGTAAGCTGATCTTGGCAAAGAATCCTGTTTGCCTTTCTGTTTCCTTAGACTATAAAACATATGAGTCTTAGAGGATAGTCTGTCTACCATAGGTTAATGTGTATGGCCTTTTTCATTCCTTACCAAGTATGCATTGATCAATCAGCAGACTCCGAAGGAGACTACATGTCCTATGAAGCCTATATACGAATATTGGCAAAAATACAGGCAGCTGATCCAGCGAACCGATTTAAGAGACCAGATGAGCTCCTTCATTTGCTGAAGCTCAAGGCAAGGAACTTAAGGGCCACTAATGAGAGAACAAGGCCATATGCAGCTCTGAGGGTCATAACAATTTGCTTATTGTAGCTTGTAGGAAACCATAGGTTCAATTACCAGGATCATCAATCAGTCAGCCAATCATAAACAGTCATCTGAGTTTTATAAACTTGTAAATATAGCAAAAGAATAGGGAAATCTTTGCCTAGTCAGAATGTCATTTTGGCCTTTGGGCCATGTTTGCTTTTATATTTTCAGGTGTTTCCAACTCTTGACCTTAAGCCAGTGACAGTTGACCTGGCTGTTGGTTCTGAGAAAACACTGAAGATTTTCTTCAGCTCAGCTAATGGTTACCACATCATTGATGCAGAATCTGAAGTTATGTCTGATGTGACCTTGCCAAATAATGTAAGATACCACCTTCAGATCCCTTGGACTTACTGTAAACACTTTGAATTTTTCCAGTTATCAGAACTCTCAAAAGTTTAGAGTGTAACTTTCTTTTATTTCTTTTACTTTTAAAGTGATATTTATTTTTACTTCATGTGCATTGATATTTTGCCTGTATGTCCATGTGTGTCTGAAGGTGTAGAGATCTAACAGGGAAGCATGTCAGAAAGTGTTGCTACATAAGCAAGAATCACTAATGGTTTCATTTTCCAGGTTTTTAAATGCAGTCTGCAGACAGATTTTGTTTGACCATAATGATTTTATTATTAATGAATACATGTAACCTTTAAAATCTAGTTATATTGATTAACCAGATCTGATCATCTCAAGCCCACACTACCATCTGGTCATTATCAAGTGGAACTAATTGAGGTCTTTCTCCCTTTAATGGCTTTGTGTTCTACATTCTCTATCTGTTTATCTTTGTGCATTTAGACTAATTGGCCCTAGGATGCTTTTCAATTGGCTTTAGGATTTCTATATTCTGTAATATACTAATACATTGTGTTAAGAAATTAATAGCAGAATTACATAATTATGTGTACTCCCCTCTTTATTGCATTTTCTATAGACTATAGCAAATTACTTTAAAATTCATTTATGATATTCATTATATTTGGGGATTTCTGATGAAAAGAATCAGTATTTTTAAAGCAAATGTTCTACAATTTTAAACATAAATAAAAGACAAGATCTAACTTGTGAATGGTTGTGAAAACACTCATCATTAATATAAAGAGCTTGACAATAGCATCTCATACCACACCAAGTGCATCATACAAAATATTTATTATGGAATTGATGTCTTTCCTTGTTGAAAATTATATTTAAAGGAATGCCTTTAGCAGTTCTTGTTGGTTTTTTTTTTAGTTTTTTTATTTTGGTTTTTTTGTTTGTTTGTTTTGCTTTTTTTTTTTTTTGGTTTTTGGAGACAGGGTTTCTCTGTAGCGTTTGGAGCTTGTCCTGAAAATCACTCCATAGACCAGGCTGGCCTCCAACTCATAGAAATCTTCCTGTCTCTGCCTCCTGAGTGCTGGGATTAAAGGTGTACGCCACCACCGCCATTCTTTTTTTTCATCTCCTTTAAGATACTGAGCTTGCTGAATCTTAACATTTCAGCAGCTTATCATTCTGTGTAACATTTGTGTATTTTAAGTCACTCATTTTGTGTGATATCTTGAACATTTTAAGAATATAGCATGTCTCTAATAATGCAATTAAAGCAATTACATAAAACAATCAGCAGAACATTGGTGAAGACATCTTTAAAGGCATTTTGGTGAAACTGGCACTCATTAGCTAATGACCCAGTAGCTGTCTATATAGACAATTTACACTGTTTGTACTGTGAGAATATTAAACACAACCTCAGTCAAAACCACAAAATAATTTTGAAAAACTATAACTATATTCGAGTTGTCTCTGTAGCTTCCTGCATCTTATTTATCATCATAACAGCCTTTGTTCCGAAGCTAGTTCAATAAAGAATACTGGAATGTTGGCTTAAGTTAACATTTACTGAAAAGTCCAACCAGGCATCTTAGTGCACACATATAATCCCATAACTTTGGAAGTGTAGGCAGGAAGTTTGGGAGTATTATTACTAGCATTAACTATTTAGCAAAGTTGAAGCCAGCCTGAGATATACTAGTCACTGGTTTGAAGAATAAAATCATTAAAGAAGTTTAAATCTAAAGAATGAGCAGGGAAATTATTTGCTTTAGAAAATCAGTTAATTAACTATAGAAACAAGAATGAAAAAAGAAGAGATTTCACAAATCATTTTCTGACCTAATTAGGATCCCTCACATATATGCAAACGTATTTTTAGACAAATTCCCTAGTGTCTTGACCCACTAAAATAGAAAGGATTCTAATATAAGGGAGAGGAGGGTGTCTTCTAAAAGAGAATGTCCTAAAAATAATATTTTCTCCAAAGTGCTAGTTTACAAAGGCTCTAATGTTACAGGAAAGCCACATGTGCTGAAGACTATGCCATTCCTTCAGCAAGCATCCGAGAAGCAAGGGAATTACCTCAGAGGCTGTCTGGATTCGCAGCACTCCCTTTGTATTACAAACAGATTTTCTTGAGACAACCTTATTTCTTGGAATTTCTTTCATTTTTTCTTATCTGGTTTCTGATTCAACTGCTCATGCAAGTGCCCAGGGAACGCATTAAAATTGCGTTTCGCCTCTGGATTCCCATTTTAGTTTTGAGGATTGTTGTTGCTGAGACATGGCCTCAAGCACTTGGCCTGAGTACGCTGGCTTTGGCAAGTATAGTTTCTGATCTTTTCTTTTCCTGTAGCTTGCTAATTTGGAAAAACACACTTTAAAAAATTTATCAGAGAAGTACTGTCACTGGCATAATATCTTTGTTCCAAACAAATTTTGTCTCATTTATGAATCTAAAAATTTAGAAATATTTAGTTATCTCTAGTATTTCCTTATTCTGCCAATCAACACTTCTGAATTTGTATATTGAGCCTATGGTAACATGTGACTTGAATGAGACAGTCTATGTTTTCTTGAATAGGGGACAAATATAATTAAACAAGCCATAAACAGTATTAAAATTGTCCCTTAAAACATTTTAAGCTCAAGTTATTTGAGGGTTATTTTCCTTTTTTCACGAATTTGCTGATGAATTCTGTATATGATTCGTTACTTGGCTCACATATTCATTATGAAAATATTACTTGATTTTGGAAATGAATCTTAAATTCAGAACTGTATTATTTTTCTATTACAATAAACAATACTTTTGTGGCATTTCAAAATATTTCACTGTGTTGAAAGTGCAGCTTTACTTATTTTTTCCAAATTATTATCCTAAGCAAAAATAGAGAATTAAAATCAAAGGCTTCATGACATAATAGAAACCAACTCTTCTCAAATGTTTAGTTTATCTCATTCTGTTGAATTTGGAAACTGGTTACCTTCCTTCCTGCACGTTGAACATTTTTTTGATCTTCAATTAAAGGGATAGTTGCTTCAGTTAATGTAATAGTGATAAAATACTGGACACAAAAATCTTTATGAAACATAATACCAATCCCTGGAAACCATTATATCACAGAACATCATCATTTTACCTGATGGCCTGGGAGTTGGCGTGATGCTCACCTTCAATGCTGAAGCTGCCTCTGAGGAAGCAAATGAACAACTCTACAAGAAGATCCTTGAAGTGTGGAAAGATATACCATCTTCCGCAGGTATGCACTAGTTTCTCTCAGATGAGACCAGGAAGTTTGAAGAGTATAATATGTGTCCTAAATAAGGTTTCCAGAATTGTTTTTTTTTTCTTAAAGCACTAATGGATAATTTAAAGTCTTGCACATTTAAAGGGGACTCTATTTTGTTTAGTCATCAATGCTCTGTTTATAGAGTAGTATTTATGTGAAATCAGTTATATAAAAAGACAGATAGAACTGCCTGGAATGCCTGTTATTTGCCACCCAGGTAGGTGGCAGCATGGAAACCCATTTTTTTTTTCTGACCAGAACACTTTATTTCTCTAAATAGCCTAGGTCTGGGAAATTATTCTAATTTGGGACTCTTTTGTATGTTTCCAATGCTTAGTGGCTAGAGAATAGAATATATACCAATAGTTAAAATGTTAGCGTGGGTAAATGGTAGAATGATAAGATGAATGGCAACTCCGCCGCCCCGTGTGTGTGTGTGTGTGTGTGTGTGTGTGTGTGTGTGTGTGTGTGTGTTTGAAGAGATAGTGGGTTATACAAAAGAGATGGAAAGGGAAGGGTAAAAATGCTATTTGTCCAAATAGATAACAGAATCCTCTAAAATGTCTGTACAGTAGGTAGAAAAGTGACACCCACATTATTTTAATGACGAGTTTGAAAGAACTCCTTTTTGGACAATTTTTCTATGGGTGATAGTTTTTTTTGCATTGCATCTGCAAAATCTTTTAATGTTAAGAATTGTCCTGAAAACCTACCCTAATTTCTTAAAACAGGTAAGAATTCACAGAGGGTTTAAAACCATTATAAATGACAGACACTAAATGCTTATGGTACAAATTGATGGATCTAGGGCAAAAGGAAGTAAAAGCGATGAGTCATGTTATATCTTTTATAGTAATACTTTTAGGAATAATATGTCAAGTAGAAAGTAGTGATGCAGCCTAGGGAAAGAATGCAGAACCTCAAAAAGTATATGAACCAGAAATAAGTCTGGTAGCCAAGTTCAAATGGGAAACTGAGCATAACCCTAGTATTCAACCCACTAGGCAATCACAAGAGTAAAAGAGATCTTTAATGTCTACATCATCTCTGGTTCTCAGGCAATAAAATTTCTAACCTATATCAAAAAGCTAATTTCACTTGGTAGAATTTGAAAGACACGTATATGTAAAACAAATTATAGCACTATAAGTCCATGATGTTATTGTTTAGTGCATATTGAGAATATATTACAATATAACACTAATATCAACGAAAGAACTCAGTCTGTTTTCTAACTCTAAACAACTTGCTGTTAACAACTAGCTTAAATTCAGATTTTCCTAAACCAGAATTTACATTTCATTAATCTATGATATTTTCAATAACAAGGACAATGTTTTTTATTCCCAAATATTTGTACAGAAGTATAAGAATTATAGAAAGTTTTACCAAAAATCTTTGCTTCAAGATTTCAGAAAAAAACTAGGTTAAGTGAATGTGTGATGATATAACACTGGGTATTGGACTCAGTAAACAAGCTGTATTAAATTAGAAAGTTTGGCTCTGTATGGCTGTTGAGAAGAATACTATTTTTATATAGTGGTCATGTGAGTAAAATACTCAAATTCATACATGCTAATTCTGTTACTAGTTACTATAAGGCAGGCCATTAATTCTTCATACTTCCTGTGGCAAAATTTAATTAGGACCCTATATTACACTAATAAAGTTACTTCAGAACAGTTATTTTTCATAGTGAAAATATCATAGTAATTTAGAAAAAATTTTGATATCAAAATCATACAGGTAATAGTTTTTATTGTAGTGACAACAGGGATAATACATGCTTTGAACTTTGCTTTGAGGTAAGCCACATTTCTCCAGTATGCATTTGCTAGTTACTTTTACAGTTTACCTAGTCTTTCGTAAGTTATTTTATGTAAATTTAACGTAGAATACAGCAGGTAAATTTTGGTTTAAACAAAAGTACCTGGGAGCATTTGATAAAAATGGGTGATTTTTTTTAATGAAAGACATAGTTATAGTGACACCAATTTTCCCCCTTCAAATAAAGGAAAATAATAGATTAAAGAATTCTGCTCTCAGTCATCAAAGTGCCAGATTTTGGTGTGTTTTATCTGCAGTTAAAATGTTTGCGATTTTAAATGTTACAATTTACTTTATTTATAGAATTTTATTCCCTATAAACTACATAAAGAATAGTAGCTTGAAAGTCAAACAATAATATTACTTCTTTGGCCATAAAATACTTCACAGAATAAAGTATATGGATGTTTAATAATAAGCACTCTGCTTTCAGATAGTATTTTCATAAATGATACTGTCACAAAGGATTATAAAACAAGCCTAAGTAAGAAGTTTAAAATGCAATACCATTTTCCTCAACAACTACCCTGAGTTCTGCTTCTAGCAGGACAATTACTCAGTTACATTATAGTGACTCAAGTCTGTTGAAGGAACGAGCCACTTGTTGGTTCCCGGTCACCTGGCTAGCTTAGACCCGAAATAACCACACAGAAACTGTCTTAATTAAATCACTGCTTGGCCCATTAGTTCTAGTTTCTTATTGGCTAACTCTTACATATTAATTTCACCCATTACTATTAATCTGTGTATTGCCACATGGCAGTGGCTTACCAGCAAGGTTTCAGCAAGTCTGACTCTGGTGACTCTCTCTCTCTCTCTCTCTCTCTCTCTCTCTCTCTCTCTCTCTCTCTCCCTCTCTCTCTCTCTCTCTCTCTCTCTCTGTCTGCCCTTGTTTTAATTTTTTTATGAAAAAAGTTTTCCATGTGTGCCACAATATGGCTCTTTATTGGGACTCCTCAACCAGTATCTGGTGTAACACTGTACTTCACCAACAACCATTTTTTTTTTAAATCGTGGGTTGATCAGAATGTCTACAAACAAAATTGTTAACCTTTGGGTTAGTCTATGGTCTTACAGTATCCAAATACAAACATCAACAAAGATCTAACAAGTCAATGTGGATCACTGTGGGATCTATAGATAATTACTGAGCTTTACCTCACTTCTACGAAAACAAAATGGTCTTTTGATATTTCCGTTTGTATTATAGCTTTTGAGTGTACACAGAGACTGACCGGATGGGACCAAAAGGCTGTTGAAGTGCGGTCCCTGCAGTCCAGTATTCTCGAGAATGAGTTGAAGCGCAGGTCAATCAAGAAACTGAGATTCCTGTGCACCCGTGGTGACAAGGTATAGTCTATACCCTTCAGTAAAGCAAAAATAAACTAACCATTGATATTAATTAGACTTTCTGACCTTTACCTTTTGCTCATAAATATTTAAGAATATATTTTTAAATTGGCACACTATTAATAAAAACAGTTTTCTTTTTCACAGCAGAAATTGATTTGGTAAATAATGTAATTTTATTTCAACATAATCCCATTTCGAAGTAAAAATTTCTAGTTATATTAACATTAAATTTTGATATTTTATTTGGCATGAACTTACATTATTTTTGATCCAAAGTCATTTTCACTTTCATACCAAGAAATTTAAGAAACTATGAAAGCAAATCTGCCTCCTTAGGATGATTTAAATATTTTGGTTTTGATTATCATAATTTAATCACACATACCAGTGACATTCATTGTGATATTTCAGTGTATGCCATCCATGTGAACTAATCAGATCAAGCTCCCTCCATCTGCCTTAGTACCAAAATCATTCCTGATCTCTAGATAGATTTTTTTTACCTTTGATATATGAAATAAATCATTAATATTTTGTTTTTGGCTTATTTCAATTAATATAAGTTCTCTAGCTCTATGTAATTTGCTGCAAATGCATGATTTTAGTTTTGGGGGGGTTGTTTGGTTTTGCTTGGTTTGGTCTTCTTCAGTTGATGGGTACTTAAACTGACCCAAAAGTTATTGCAGATAGTGCTTCAATAACCATGGCGTACGAATACCTCTGGTAGGTTGGTACCCAATTGGATATATGAGAACCAGATCACATGGCAAGCTTATTATTTTGTGTTTTTATCTGTCTGGTACTTTTTGAAGTCCTTACCAGCATTTTCTTTGCTTTTTGAAGATCTTCCATTTCTAGCTTTCAGCATATTCCAAGAATAAGAGAAGGAAGAAGTGCTTACGTTTGTTGAATATGTAACTATATGTTTGACTTTATGGTTGCTATTTTAGAAGGTGTCTCAGTTATATCTTCATAAGTAGGTATAATGAAGACTACAGAAAAGAAAATGAAAATTGAGTCTTGGAAATTTTCTGTGAAATTTGATCAGTGTTAAGTGTTGAAAATAGGTAGATGGGAAAGTTCATCAACTCAGTTAACATTTTAAGAAATAATGCTTTGAAGAACTAATCTTAATAGAATTAATAATAATTACCATGGATTACACAGAATTCAAGTTACTATAAGGGAAAGCAGGGCAAACTTGCCGCATATCAAGGAAAGGTGCCTGATTTTGGATTGCAATGCTAAGAACCAGAATTTGAGGTCAGGGAGTTAGAGTTGCTATTCTGGCTCTGCCACCTAACAAGATGTGAGAACCAGAGAAGTTTAATTAATCTTTACTATGTTTTTTTTTTGTCGGGGGTGGGAGAATGCTGAACATGGAACCCAGGATCTCACATGTGCTATGCAAACACTGTACCGTTGGGTCACATCTCTAACCCTTGTTTTATTTTTTAAAAACTTAATTCCTTTATTTCTAAGATGGAACTAGTAATTACTGTTTGGGAAAGGAAGATAAATCTCTTCCACAACAAGGATGTAGTAAGCATCTTACAGAGAATTCAGTATGTGGAGTGTGCTAAAGTTAGCTGCTTTCTCTTGTTCATTGTCAGCATGCCCTACTGAGTATAACTTTGATGACAGAAGAAAGCTTTGACTTCCTTCGGATATTTATGTCTATTCTGTTCTGATTTTCTTTATTATGGAATAACCCACTTTTGTACACCATGTTCCTCTCTATTCCATTGGGTTTCCAAGGAAAGGAGAAAATGTTGCAATTCAATTATAATCTCAAAAAATAAAAACAAATTTATTCTAATTCAAATTGTCTTTTAACACAAGGAAAGAATTTTTGCTGTCCCTTGCCACTTGTGCTTATATTTAAGAAGTTAAAGGAATTTTCTACCTTTTATGGTTTTTTTACTTCAGTGAAATGAACTGATATCATAAAAAGTTGAAATTTTAATTCCCTTTCTTCCTCCAAACTGTCCCGTTTACTTCTCCCAGCCATTCAAATTCATAGTCCCTTTTCCACTATTTTTTATTGAATCATAATTTTATATGCATATATATTCCTAAATATAGCCTGTTCAGTCCACAAAGTGTTACTTGTATGTATGTATTCAGGGCTGGCTTTTTGTCCCTAGACAACTAGTTGATGTGGTTTTACCTGGTGGAAAATCACCTCTCCCACTTCCAGCTCTCAACTTTCCTCAGTTGCCTGTTGTTCTTTGTATAGAGTGGAGGTCTTGTGGGCCTTCCAGTCTAGTTTGGCATGTCTCAGATAAAGGAAAGTGTTGTTAACCAAAACTAATAAGGAACTTCAGTCAATGAAAACCATCAATAATAAATATTATATGGCAGTTGGTAGCTGCTAAGGGAAGTAGAAGCATTATTCTTTGGGGAAGGCACTTGTAGTTCCTGGTCTCACACCTGTGCACATATGCTCAGCCCTGATTGGATCCAGTGGGTTATAAATTTTGAAAAGAGAATATGAAGATGGGAGGAAACATGTTGAAGAGATCCAAAGGGAATTGAGCAAGTGATCATGTGATCATAATCCATTGTGTAGGTGTATGAAAGTCTCAAAGAATAAATTTTAAAAGTAAACATAAAGCCAAATTAATAAAATATATGAACTGTAATTCTCCAGACTATGGTGAAAATGTTACTTTGAAATATGCTATTTAAGTTCCAAACTAATCAAAGTTATGCTTCTTAAAATAAGAAAAAGTTATTCCAAACAAGATGGCTTAATATTTTAATTACATCGAATTGTAGCTATAAACTGGTACTTAACACTTTAGTATATTATCTGGCTAAAATGGATAAGCCACTCCCTGATGATGCTTTTCTCTTTATTTCTTTAAAGCTGTTCTTTACGTCTACATTGAGCAATCACCACAGCCGGGTTTACTTTATGACCCTTGGAAAACTTGAAGAGCTCCAAAGAAGTTATGCTGTGTGAAAGATCCCAATGACTTCCTCCACCATTTACATCCATCACATATATGCCATTACATCCCAAAACTCCAGTTTTATCATTAGAAAAAGTTTAATCAGAGGCTTTTAATGTAGCCCATCATAGTTTCAATGAGAAGTACAGCTTTATAAACAAACTTAACTATAGCAAGCTCTATGTACTCCAGTGGTGTACAATATCTTTTGCACGAACTTTGTAACTTTTGTTACTGTGAATTCAGACATTACTCTTAAGACAGTTTGGACAGTATCTGTATTCAGATTTATATTATGGAGTATAGAAACCTGTTATAAATTACTTTACAAGCGACTTTCAAATAATTGGCCCTAAATAAGCTTTTCCAAAGAAAAAAATAAATTAATGTAGGTAATTTTTTTCCAAGCAAAATTAGATTAAGAGAAAAAACATAAGAAATTTTATAGCCTAGACTAAGGTTGAACAACCTGCATACACAAGGAAAACTACAGTGATCAAGGGGGAAATGCCACCCAATTCTTTTTCATAATAAACCCACAGTTGGAGACCAATTGTGATTCTTTTTGCCCATTGTTAAACTGGTTTTCTCTATATAAGAAGAAAAGGAGAAAACCTCAGATGTTTGGTTTCCCCTTCCAAAAGTCCCAAATATGTGCAATAACTGTTTTACAACCTACTAAACAATATATTTACTAGTTTGAATACAGGACTGAACTCCAATACACATGTACTGTAGAGAGTTTTTTTTTTAAATACTTCTAAGTAGGCGTCAAATTCTGTCCCCATGATTGGCTGAGTTCTTAATTTTATTATCTAGCTATTACTATGACCATCAGACAGCACTGAATATTTTTCCAGTTCTACATTAAACTATATAAAATGCCCTTCCAGGTACTAAACAAATCAATGTGACAAAATGAAAAGAACATTGATAGCTAATACTTGCATTTTCACATTTCCATCACTACAAACTGAAATTTAAAAGTCATCAAGTGATAATCTCAAATTTAGTCATTTGCTGTAAGTAAATTACAAGAGATTTAAAACAATAACATTGATTGTATATCAAAGTCTGCAAAATTAGACTTGTGAAATTCATGCCAGTCCATACCAAGTATTTTATAGACGCCAAAATAGGTGATATTTGATCACCTATGGTAACTGCTACCTGATAAGAAAGCGTGATTTATACCTATCCATCCTCAATGCCATGGTTAGTTCTGGGGCGAGAGAAAAAGCCACAGAACCTACCACAAAGTATACCTCAACAAGTCCTCTAGTTCTGCTTCTGAAATCTGAAGCCTTTTAAACTACCTGGTTAACCAAAACAGAAAGCAGCTGACTGAGTGTGATTTCCTGGCAGTGTATCATTTCCTGGAACCTTTGTGCCAGAAGTGAAGATTTGCATTTTTCATCTGACTTCTATCCAGAGTGCAGCAGCCCACTGTTCAGACTGTAGAAGAGCCTAAATCCCCAGGTGACATGTGGTTCCCGCTTCTGTTACTGTGACACGATAATGTGATCCTAAAACTGGCTTATGCTTCAATGTTTACAATTCAAATTACTTTTTTAAGTTCAGTAGTTACTTTACATAAACAAACTTTAATGTCAAATCAATACCTTAGAAGTAGTTTTCTTTTTTAAAGAAAAAATTTGTACACCAAAGGCCGTGGGGAACTTGGTGCAAGTACCTCATCGCTGAGCAAATGGAGCTTGCTATGTTTGAATTTCAGAAATTTTTCTCATTTAAGTAGTATGTAGGAAAGTCTTTTAAGAATTTTTCTTCTTCATATTTACTCAAATAAGCTTATAATAAGTTTTATCTTAAAATCATATGTTTAAGGCAGTAATACATTAAAAAACAATTTTAGCAACTCATCTCCCATTGCTCTCCATGGCAAGTATTCCAGCAAGCACAGGAAATAGCAAACAGAATCTCCAAAGTTTTCCCAAACCAACCACACAGGAAAGATTAGCAATGTACTGCTGTGCTTTGAAGGCTAATGCGCTAATAAGAAAAAGAAGTTTGACACCTAGCAAGAAAAAGGAAGCCTCGAGCATTGGGCGCCAAGTATGAACTAATGAAATAGTTGAAATAGTTCACTAGTAATAAATGTCGCTAATGAATATTTCCAGTTTAGGTGTACATCTGTGTAAGATCTATGTAGCTTTTGGCAGGTGAGCCAGAAAAGTGGAACAATGCCATTTCATAGTCTTTATACTTTGTAGTAGAAGAAATGACATATGTACTACACCTTGTAACAGTACCTAGAAGGCCCAGCATATTACAGAAGTGTGGAGAGGCACTCCCGAAGGCCAGTGTAACTAGGATTCTTGTTGGAAGCATGAATATTTTGGCAGGTTATGAGCAGCACTGGTAAGAGTATGGTTTAATTTAATGGTGGTTTGGTTTCTTTAAATTACCAAAGCACTTGTAATAAAAGAAATTGTGCAAAATGTTTTGAAAACAGTTCAAGAATAGGACTGATAGCAAAATTTCTGAATGGATTAATGGGTTCAAGCAAAGTAAGATGCTAAGCGCAAGAAGTGAAAATCATCAAAGCAATAAAATAAGCAAAGCAGTATCTCTCCTACACTTACATCCCTTCACCCAAATTTTAAAATGCCAAAGATTAAATTCATTTTGAGATAAACTGATAACTAGGTAATGTTTTCTGCAAAGATTCATTATTTGAAGGCTGGACAGATAACTAGATTAGTAAAGCCCATGCCCTATGGCTCTAAATTCAATCCCCAGAAATCACATAAAAATTCCAGTAATGGTAGTGGATACTTTCAATCCCTGTGCTGAAGAGAGTTAGATCAGTAGATCTCTGGAGCTTGCTTGCCAGCTAGTCTAAACTAATTGGAGAGCTTCTGGCCAATGGAGACCCTGTCTACAAACAGGTGGATGGCATTCCTGAGGATGACACTGGATGTTATCTTCTGCTCTCTCTCTCTCTCTCTCTCTCTCCCCTCCCCTTTCTCTCATCCTACTCCCTCCCTCCCTTCCTCTCTCCCTCCCTCCCTTCCTTCCCTTCCTTCCTCCCTCTGTCTCCCTCTCCATAACACATACACACACACACACACACACACACACATACACATGCATACACAGGCACACACACACATGCACAGACACACAAAACACAATTCATTCATCTGAGACGGTCTTCATAAGATAACAAATATTGCCACATACTCTCATTGGAATCTTTTAAGTACTTTTTGATTTGTTTCAAGATATGTGCCTGTTTGAATCACTTATACTCAACATGTATGGAGTTAATCTTTGAAACTAATTGTTTGATCAGAAACTCTGTAATGGATCATTGTTTGGCTTCTTAAATAAAAATTTGCAATTATTGATTGGTGTCATTATTGAAATACACAGTGTCTTGGAATTTGAATTCATTTGAAAAATAATTTCTTTAAAACAGGTAAGAATCTACCAACAAGTGTATATTTGAGGGTCTCTCTGTCACATGGTTCTGGTCAAGGAAACCTGTATCTAATAAGAGCCCTTTCTGTAAACTGGAGATGTGAACCATGCTTGTCATTCAAGCATGAAGTTGTCAGTGTGGAGTCCTAAAATATTAGTCAAGGTGTTGTAAACCCAGCACTGGGGGAGGGGATTAAAAAGTGGATTCCTGAAGCTTCCTGACCAACCAGTATGGCCAAATCAGAGTCTGACTCAGCAAGACAAAAAATAAGGTGGCAAGAAATCGAGGAAGATGCTCAATTTTCATCTGTGACCTTCAAGTGAACATGAACATATATAGAACACACATACAACATCCTATGTAAATAGCTTTGAAGTTACCCTTGTACAATTAGAAGCTAATAACATTTCCTCTATATATGTGGGACTATAGGCATAGAATCACATAGGATAGAGTTTGATACATTTTGATTTAACATGGAACACTGGTGGCCACATAAGTATAGAATCATTCAGTATGGACAAACCCAAGCAAATCTCAATACTACCTTCCCTAGTATCCCACCCCAGTATCTTAATGTTTGGTGAAGATGAAAAATAAGAACATTATGCAAAAATAAGAGTATATATTTGTAGTTTATTAGTAATCATAAAGGGGTTTGTAAAAGCTGATTATTGAAGACAGAAGAAACATAACATTGTCACTTGTTATGTATATTTGGAAACATCAATCTGATTCAAAATAGTAGTTCCAGAAGATGTAAAAAATTTATGTGGAATTATGTTTTCATAAGCTTGTCAATACTTCAGATAAATACAAAATCAGATTTGGAGCTGTCTCCCTCAAAAGGGAGGCCATTATGACATATATACTTTAAGGATCATAGGTAATGACAGTTTTCTTAGTTATATCAGGCATCACAAAAGTAAGACATTTACTTTCTGGTATACAAACATTTGTTTTGGATGTGGTCCTTTTCCACAAATTATATTGTTGCATACTGAGATATGTTTTCTTTCACAAATGTTATGTTACTTTAAACTTGTTCCTGTGTTCACTGAAGGTACCTTTTTAGTAGGTAAATTATTTTTAGGGAGGAAGCTATTAAAACAAGCATTCCATACCAGAAAGATGAAATTCTAGCAATCAATATAATGGGGTCAAAACTGATTGAATTACCAAAATGCAAAGTTATTTTCCATAGGTAAAATTAAAGTTATATGACAAGCTAGAAAATATGGGCTACATTTGATATTGCCCATTGGTCTATTGTCTACACTCATCCAAATAGATACTTGATAGCTTGAAGTGGCTTTGAGGTTTTCTGGGCCTGAGTATCCATGAGAGTCTTTGGGCTAGGTGCCCAAATACTTTGGGTCATAAACCTCTCTGGGTAATAGCTTTGCAAATTGTAGTTCGTCGTATCCTTTCCACTTTTGATTAATCTTTCTCCAATCAGCCCTTTAGTCTGTCTGCACCCCATCCCATTTCATGTAAAGTTAATTATGTCTTTTCATTCACTTTTAAGAATGACCTGATATAATCATGCCAATGAACTTAGACTTAAGAGTTCCATGCATGTTCTATTATATAACCTCTTTAAATGCCTAAGATTTTTAAGTACTCTCATGAGCTGTGTTGAATTACTTAGCCTAGGTAAAATGAATAAATAGTTACTCGCTCCATGTATGACCCCAGTGACAGACCAGAGGAATGATTACACCCAATTCGGCAGAGCTTGATGAATCATTGACTTCATTGATTGACTTTACAGAACCTGGGTGATGAGTTGCTGGACATGGGTGATCATTCAGTCTGCTTCATTTTGTGGATTCTTTTGGAATTTTAAATTCAATAGGAAACTTGGGAATTCTTTTAGTTAAAGATAGCTTGCCAAGGTTTGACACTCATCATGGCCCAACTAGGATTTAAGCTCTACAAAGTTTGGCTTCAGAATACGTGCTGTTCCTTAGAATTGAGAAGAAATGAATATCAACATACTTCAAACAATATCTTTCTGCAGAATCATTAATAAGTCCATTTTTTCATCTACTTGTCAGTTGTTGGAGGATAAGATTGTACTTATTTGACATTAAGTCCTACTGTTAATTTTAAAACATAGGTGTGGATGGAGCCTTAAAAAGTTGGTGAGGGCTAAAGAGATGACTCTGTTGGTAAGAACACTTAGTGTTCAATTATTAAGACCCACGTTGAGATTCTAAACACTCATTTAAAATTGAGGCATGGAATATGTGCTTGTAATGAAAGCTCAGGGTTTGCTGGATGCCAGCCTAGCTCCCAGTTGAGTGAGAAACCCTGTGTCAAGGGAATAAGGTGGGGAATGTTAGACCAAGACAACTAATGGTCCTCCTCTGACCTCCATAAGCATGTAGGTGGGCACACTCAGAATGCACAGGTACATACACCACACACAATCACACACCCTCAGAAAATGCTGACTGACTGAATGAATGAAATGCCTTGAGTAGAGAGTGAGAAAAAAAAAGAGAGCAAATAAAATCCTCTACTCTCCTATTACTGCGGCAGAGCCACCCACCTCTATGACACGTATCTCTATAGTTGCCATGAATATTAGCTCTCCTGGTACTTGATAACATGAGTTAGGAAATATGATATGCTTTTCTTGACTTGGAGTTGAGAGCAAAAGTAATTCATAAGAGGTAAGTGAGGAAGAAGGCAGCTATTATCCCGAACAAGTGCATCTTTTTTCTCACTGGTGTGTAAACATGGGCACACACTGAGAAATCTTGTCGTTGCCAATTCTGCATCTGTCTCTGTTTATTGTCTACAAGGTTAAGTGAGGTTATATCATGGGCTTCAGTTCAAAGAATGTGCTTGCTTGTATATGCAATATCTGGTTAAACTGCTTAAAATAACAAGTGGTTTCACACCAGAAACTGAGGGAATTTGGTTTCAAATGATGGCTCATGGTCCCTCATTAGGCTCCCTGATTACAAGTACATGGAATGTAGGATGACTTCTTATGGTCCTGAGGGCCCAGTACCTTCACACACATCACAGTTCAGTTCAACGGAAAGAAGTGAGTCTCCTCGCATTCCATTCACATCTCAGAAGCTGGAGTTGGGATTCTGATATGTTTTGTGATGGCTTTTATGATGAGTTTTTCTCCTTTTAAACTGTCTAATATCCACTTATGAATGAATATGTACCATGTTTGTCTTTCTGGGTCTGGGTTACTTCACTCAGGATTGTTTTTGTCTAGTTACATCAATTAGTCTGCAAATTGTGAGTGCAGGATTGTCAAAGGGAGGGGTGAAGGGAAGAGGGCAGGAGGAAATGAAGAAACAGGAAGGTTGAGTTGGGGGAGGGACAGAGAGGGGGAGAAAGGAGAGAGGTATCTTGATACAGGGAGTAATTATTGGATTAGGGAGAAATCTGGTACTAGGGAAACTCTCAGGAATCTACAAGGTTGACTCCAGTTAAGACTCCTAAGGGTCTCTGAACTGGTCTTCCTATATAATCAGAATGATGACCACCCTAACTGTCATCATAGACCCTTCAGCCAGTAACTGGTGGAAGCAGATACAGATCCACAGCTAAGTACTGGGCTGAGCTCCTGGATTCCAGTCAAAGAGAGGGTGGAGGGATTATATGAGCAAAGGGATCAAGATCATTATGGGGAAACCCACAGTAACAGCTGACCCAAGCTAGGAGAAGCTCACTGATTCTGGACTGATAGCTGGGGAACCTGCATAGGAACAAAATAGGCCCTGTGAATTCAGGTGACAGTTGTATGGCTTGGGCAGTCTGTGGAGCCACTGGGAGTGGGACTAGGATTTATCCCCAGTGCATGAACTGGCTTTTTGGAGGGATACCATAATGCAGCAGGGAGGAGCTTGGTTCTGCCTCAATTTAGTTGATTTCCCAAAGGAGGCCTTACCCTTTCTTAGGAGTTAATGGGGTGGAGAGTAGGAGGAGGGAAGGGAAGGGGAACTGTGGTTAGTATGTAAATGAAAAAAACTTTTAAATAGAAAATTAAAAAATTAAGACAAAATGTTTTTTATTTTGTGTATAATGTGTGTATGTATGGGTTTGGGTGTGCCAATATACGCCAGCAATATGAAGTTGGTGGAGATCAGCATGAGACTGTGAGAGAGCAAAGGATCTTTACGTGGAAACAGTTTTCTCTTTCTGATTTGCATGGGTTCTGAGGACTGAGCTCAGGTTGGCAGGCTTGAACCAAGTGTTTCACCCTCTGAACCATCCTATTGGCCTTGCTCTTCTAGCCTACTTCCTCACCACCACCACCATGCTCTCTCTTTATCCTTCCCTCCTTCCCACCTTCCTTCCTTCCCTCCACCTCTCTCTGATTTTTTTTTTTCGGAGATAGAGTTTCTGTAACAGCCCAGTCTGTTCTAGAACTTGTTCTGTAGACCAGGCTGACCTCAAACTTGGAGTTACCTGCCTGCCTCTGTCTTCCAAGTGCTATAATTAAAGGCGCATAATTGAAAGGAATGAACCATGTGCTGCTGCTGCCTCCTCCTCCTCTTCCTCTTGCT